GCGTCCAGACGCCCCCAGATGTTTTCACACGCCGTCAGAGGCCTTCGAACAAGTTTTGAAATTCCCCAAGGTTCCTCCGGATTCCCTAGGTTTCCTTGGGCCTCCTCTGGATTCGTCATAATTCCAGGCTGGAATTTCCAGCGATTTCCAAAAGATATCAATGATCCCGAAACTTCCCTGAGGATCCCCAAGTTCCTTCCGGCTTCTTCGGGCTCCGGGGGGATCCGCAAGGTCCTTCTGGATTCTCGCAGCTTCCTCAGGACCCATGAAGGTGGTTCAGGACGCCATAAAATTCCTCTGGGCCCCGCCGGATGTCAGCAGGATGCGCCGCTTGCCAGAAGGACACCAAAGGACCCATTATGTGTTCAGATTAGCGCCGTCTGCCAAAAGGGCAACAACGCACGCATTATGAATTCCGATCGACAGCCAAACAAATATTGTGGAATTCGAGTGGAGGCTGGGACTCGACCATTTCCGATTGAATTCCCAATCAAAAACCAATGAATTATCAAAGACTTCTGCTGGAGGCTGGGACTTGACAATTTCCACTTGGATTCCTATTGTTATAAGTATACAGTAATAATAATCATAATAATAATAATAACCCTGTGACGTACCCAACCCATTTGTATCAATGGAAACGAGGAGTTGGGCGAAACTTGTATGGACAATCAACTTGATGTGTAAGCTACTTGGGAGGCGTCATTGTGCTGGGCCCCGCAAGCAGGACTCGAAAGTGGCGACAGTTTCACAGATCGCAGCCCCTCAGGGATGGCGAGGTCTAATTTGAATCTGCGTGAGGCGTCACTGTGCTAGGCCCCCCAGCAGGCCTCGAAAGTGGCGACAGCTTCGCAGATCGCAGCCCCCCAGGGATGGCGAGGTCTAATTTGAATCTGCGTGTGGGTACCCACTGTGCTGGGCGCTTCAGCAGCCCTCGAAAGTGGCGACAGTTTCACAGATCGCAGCCCCCCAGGGACGGCCAGGTTCAATTTGAGTCTGCGGTGAGTACCCACTGTGCTGGGCCCCCCAGCAGGCCTCGAAAGTGGCGACAGTTTCACAGATCGCAGCCCCCCAGGGATGGCGAGGTCGAATCTGAGTCTGCGGTGGGTACCCACTGTGCTAGGCCCCTTTTCAGCAGCCCTCGAAAGTGGCGACAGTTTCACAGATCGCAGCCCCCCAGGGATGGCGAGGTCGAATCTGAGTCTGCGGTGAGTACCCACTGTGCTGGGCCCCTTTCAGCAGCCCTCGAAAGTGGCGACAGTTTCACAGATCGCAGCCCCCCAAAGGATGGCGAGGTCTAATTTGAGTCTGCGGTGAGTACCCACTGTGCTCGGCCCCTTCCGCAGGCCTCGAAAGTGGCGACGGTTTCACAGATCGCAGCCCCCCAGGGATGGCGAGGTCTCATTTGAGTCTGCGGTGAGTACCCACTGTGCTGGGCCCCTCAGCAGCCTCGAAAGTGGCGACAGTTTCACAGATCGCAGCCCCCCAGGGATGGCGAGGTCCCATTTGAGTCTGCGGTGAGTACCCACTGTGCTGGGCCCCCCAGCAGCCGTCGAAAGTGGCGACAGCTTCACAGATCGCAGCCCCCCAGGGATGGCGAGGTCCCACTTGAGTCTGCGGTGAGTGCCCACTGTGCTGGGCCCCTTCAGCAGCCTTCGAAAGTGGCGACAGTTTCACATTTCGCAGCCCCCCAGGAGGGCGAGGCCCAATTTGAGTCTGCGGTGAGTACCCACTGTGCTGGGCCCCTCAGCAGCCCTCGAAAGTGGCGACAGCTTCACAGATCGCAGCCCCCCAGGGATGGCGAGGTCCCATTTGAGTCTGCGGTGAGTACCCACTGCGCTGGGCCCCCCAGCAGGCCTCGAAACTGGCGACAGTTTCACAGATCGCAGCCCCCCAGCTGGCACGCAGCGACGAGCGAGGCAAAAGGCAAGGGGGAAGAGAGGGGCGGGAAGGAAGAAAGGAGACGCGCGAGCAGTGCTCTATTCAAAACGAGAACCCAACGCAGGAGGGTTGGGAAAAAAATACAACACAAAAAAAAACATTCTGCCGGAGGGTGGGGTTCGACCATGTCCAATTGAATTCCCAGCCAAAAACCGTGCAGCATTAAGGAGTTATGGTGCAGGTTGGGACTCGACCGTGTCCCTTTGAATTCCGATTCAGAAGGCAATGAATGTTGGAGGAATTATTCTGGAGGCTGGCACTCGCCCATTTCCTATTCATATGCATATATATATAAGCATATGTGTGTATAGATGTAGGTATACACTTTTACATATATATATATATATATATATATATATATATATATATGTATGTATGTATGTGTGTATGTATGTATGTATGTATGTATGTATGTATGTATGTATATATACAACACAAACATATGCAGGATGTTTGCTGGAGGCTGGGACCTGGAAATGTCCGATTGGACTCAGATCCAAAAACCAACATATTAGTATGCAATTGTGCTGGAGGCTTGGGCTCGGCAGGTCCCTATCGAATTCCCATTCAAACAACAAAACATGATTAAGGAATTCTGTTGGCGGCTGCGACTCGACCATTTCCTATCGAATTCTCATTCAAAGACAAATACAGTATTATGGAAGTCTGCTGGAGGCGGGAACGTAACCATGTCCTATGGCATTCTTATCCAAAAACAAATAATTGTTCAAAAGTCTGCTAGCGGCTGGGACTTATTGAATTCATATGCGAAACATGATATATCATTAAAGAAATAGGTTGTTGGCTGGGACCCGGCGATTTCCACATGACATTTAATTAGATAAAGCAATACGTTTTGTTCAATGAATTATGTTGGAGGTTGGGACTCCACAGTTTCGGATTGAGTTCTTCTTCAAGAGCCATTAAATTTCATCACGCATTATTACGTTGGAGGCTGGGACTCGACCATTTCTTATTGAATTCCTTTCAATGAAAAGCAAAGTATTCAAGAAGCCTGCTGGAGGCTGGGACCCGGCCATTCCCGATTGAATTCTTATTCAAAACCAATTAATCAGTATGGAATTATGTTGGGGGTTGGGACTCGGCCGTTGCCTATTGAATTCCTACGCAAAAACCAATTACTTTGGCGACGTGCCCAACCCCTGCGAAATGCGGGGCAGGAGTAGCTTGGGAGATTTGACGAGAAGGTGGCGACGTGACATGGACGCATCTACTTCTGCGAGCGGCATTCGGAAGGTTCGCAGGTCCCCAACCAAGGGACAAACGATGAGTGACTGAGTGACACCCTGAGTCGCTAAGGAGGACGCAAGGTCCAAAAGGAGACTGTGGGCAAGGGGCTTGAAACGTCGGCGGTGCAGCAGCAACGTGACATGGCCCCCCCAGGGACGGCGAGGTCCCGCTCAGGTCCGCGCAGTGCCTCACTCCGCTGGACCCACCAGCAGCCGTCGAAAGTGGCGACTGTTTCGCAGATCGCAGCCCCCCCGGGACAACGAGGTCTACCTCAGGTGCGCGGTGTCTCATTCCGCTGGACCCGCCAGCAGCCTTCGAAAATGGCGACAGTTTCGCAAATCGTAGCCCCCCAGGGACGGCGATGTTTACCTCAGGTCTGCGCGGTGCCCCACTCCGCTGGACCCACCAGCAGCCTTCGAAAGTGGCGAAAGTTTCGCAGATCGCAGCCCCCGCCCCCCCGCCGCCAGGGATGGACGGCGAGGTCCACCTCAGGTTTGCACGGTGTCTCATTCCGCTGGACCTGCCAGCAGCCTTCGAAGATGGCGACAGTTTCGCAAATCGTAGCCCCCCAGGGACGGCGATGTTTACCTCAGGTCTGCGCGGTGCCCCACTCCGCTGGACCCACCAGCAGCCTTCGAAAGTGGCGAAAGTTTCGCAGATCGCAGCCCCCGCCCCCCCGCCGCCAGGGTCCTTGTGGGGCCACGAAGCGTGTGAGGGGTGTGCCCAATCGGGTGCGTGGGACAACGGAACGTGTGAGGGGTGTGCCGAGTCGGGTGCGGATACGTCATGCGGACCCTGCCGCTGGGCCCTTCGGTCCATATGGGGCCACGAAACGTGTGAGGGGTGTGCCGGATCGGGTGCGGGTACGCACGATGGTGATGATATGGGGGCATATGAAGGGCAGAAGCAGGGATGGGAGGAGGGAGGAGGGGGAGGAGGAATGAAAGAAGGAACGCGGGGCGCTAGATTTTGAAAGCGAGGACCCAATACCACAGGATGGCTGTGAACAAGCGTGGAAACACGCGGGTTCCTGGCAGTCGGGAGCGGGACAAGCGTGACAACCCTTGGGTTCCTAATGCCCCAGGGCGGGACACGCGTGAAATCACCTGGGTTCCTCACACCTCAAAGCGGGACAGCGTATGCCCCTTCCCCTTCGGCACGTCCCTTGACTCGTTTTCTGTCGGGTTCCCTAGCTTGTTCACTGGCGCTTTCCCTGCCCGTTCCGTGGTGCGTCCCTTGCCACGTCCCCTGGCGCATCCCCTAGTGCGCCCCTGGCACATTCCGTGGCACGTCCATGCGCCGTGCGCCCCGTGTCGCCGCGTCCCGCTTCGGAACTGAGTCGTATCTTGAGCTCGAGCTGATTGAGCGTCCCACACGTTTCGACTGAACCCAGCTCTGGGCCAGCTATGCGCGCAGGCAGCTCGAACTTCAGATCAAGATCAGTTCGGTCAGGATTCGGATGCCAAGGGCGACTTGACCCACAAAGCTATGAGCACTATGCAAGTCATCGCGGCATGACACAATTCATTTCCGCACGGCACAGCACAGCACAATCTTTGTCACGGTACAACACGATCGATGCATTCAGCATTGTCATTGTCCGTCGCCCAGTCCGGCGTCTTGAAAATGTAGCCATGCTTCGCGTTTCCACATTATTTTCCGGGTTCGTGGCTCGATGATGTCTTTGAGCTGCGTCCAGCCGTGGCGTTGAGAACATTCAAACATGTAGCGACAAAAACATTCAAGACGATGACGTGGCGACGACGTCGCAGTCGATCGCCCCCCCCCCAACCTGTGACCCCATCCAGGCCCCATTGCAGCCAGCAGTGCTGCTGGTGGTGGACGGGCCGCTGAAGCAGCCGCTGTCCGACTACCTGTCCCGCACGGAGGCGGCGCGCGCGCCGGCTGAGACGGCCCGCCGTGGACAGGATGCCCAGGTGCTCAGCAGTCTCCTCTTTCGGGGCGCATGGCAGACGATCGTCCATGGATTTCCATAGGGGGCCGCATGCGAACCCTACCCCTGCCCCCCACGATTTCTGAGGGGGAGGGTGGGGTTCCCTTCGTCCGGGAGCTCCCGAGCGAAGTGAGCCCCGGCTGCTTTCGGCCTCACCGAGGGGCCCATTCCTCGATACATAGCCGCCTCTGGCGCGGGAAAATCAGCTACGTGAGCTGATTCTCAAACCCCCCTTTGCTATCCCCCCCTTTCGCCCGACCGGATAGTCGCCACCCACCAGACCACCCCAACCCAACCCGAAGGCCTCAATTTGACCGCCATTTCCAGTGGGGGGGGTCGGGGAACATCGACAAAAACACATACGGAGCCCATACCCCCCCCCCCCAACCCGAAATTCGGGTCTTGGGTTGGGTTGGGGTGGTTTGGTAGGTAGCCAGCTAATCTGATTCAGTGGCAATGTTTCGCGATCTGGAGCCCGATCTTGCACATTCCCTATTTACGTCGCCGGTGCAGCGGCAATGCATCAGCGATGCGGCTCGATGACACACCCGCGACCCACCCGCGACACACCTACATTGCTTCAGCGAGAAAATCGGCGCCTGCGGCGGGCTCGTTGTACACTTTGTGGAAATAGGGCGCCTGCGGCGGGCTTCTTCAAAGCCTCGCAGACGGCCGACGTTCCCGCCGCCCCCCGCAGTTGCGGATAAGAGTGATGGGGGCGGCGGGCACCTCGGCAGATTGCGAGGCTTTGAAGAAGCCCGCCGCAGGCGCTTTATTTTCACAAAGTGTACAACGAGCCCGCCGCAGGCGCCGATTCTTTCGTTCAGGCAATGTGGGTGTGTCGCGGGCGGGTCGCAGGTGGGCGGCGGGGACGTTGACAGTCTGCGAGAAACTGAAAAAGCCCGCCTCAGGCGCCTAATTTTGACAAATTCTTCAGCGAGCCCGCCGCAGGCGCCGATTTTTCGTTAATGGAATGTGGGTGGGTCGCGGGTGGGTCGCGGGTGGGTTGCGGGTGGGTTGCGGTTGGGTCGCGGGTGGGTCGTGGGCCGGGTCGCGGGTGGCTCGTGTGCCAGCCGTGGGTGGGTCGCGGGTGGGTCGTGGGTGGGTTGCGGGGTGTGTCGCGGTTGGGTCGCGGGTGGGTCGCGGGTGCGTTACGGGGTGGGTCGCGGATGGGTCGCAGTTGGGTCGCGGGTGTGTTGCGGGGTGGGTCGCAGGCGGGTCGCGCGTGGGTCGCGGGTGGGTCGCGGGCTGGGTCGCGGGTGTAACGGCGACAACAACAACGCAACGCAACGCATCGCAACGCAACGCAACGCAACGCAACAACAACAAACATAATCCGCGCTGCGAAGTCCCATTTCAGCCACGCACCCATGGACAGTGAATGATCGAATGACCGTCGCGCCCCCTCGCCCTCATATATGAGTTTGTCCGCGACGAAAGCGCGCCACCATCGGCGGCCGCAATGGCGGTTTCGGCGGCCTCGGGCACCGTTCCGCCCGCGGGGCACGACGGGTCCCGCAGGCGGCTTTGGTTGGTCTCGTGGCGTTTCGTTTCATAAGTGTGCCCATAAGTTGTGGACAATCTGCGACGCTCTGGGTACGCACTTGCCCATACGATTGGGAAACCTGGAAGACAGAGCACGGCTTTCCTCACCGTGGGTGTAACAGCGCGGCATGCCAGAATTCGAGGGGCCCTGCAGCGCCGACAGCCAAGCGCGCGCCCTGCTTCCCGAACAGACCTTTGCGGCGGCGCGCACAAGGGGGTGGTGCGACGGGGAAACCTTCTCGGAAGGCGGGGAGGGGCTTTGAAAAAGGTTCAGAAGCTCTCCCGGCTTCCAACGAGGCTGCTCAGATCAGGGCGCCAGAGACGGGGGCACAGCAAACGGGGGTCACGGGGAACGCCGATTTCCACGTTTGGCTATGCCCCCGCTTAAGGGGGCCCTGGGCGCCGTAGATGGGGGTACAGTAAACGGGGGTATATGGAAGAGCCTGAGCCCCCGTTTAGCTAAACCCCCGCTTACGAAGTTCAGATCAAGGCCCCACGAAGAAGGCCACGCCTTCCGAGAAACGCACCGCCTCTTCAGCAGGCCACCCGATCGTGCGCGCCGCCAATTCCCTCCGGGCCCCCCGAGGGCCCGCGGGCTGGCCCCACAAGGCTCATGCCCCAGGCGGGAAGAAGAAGATGATGAATTGAAATCAGCATCAGCGTGGTAGTACGAATAATGATAAGAACGCGAGTAGCAACAATAATCATAACAAAAATAACAATACCATTCAGAACCGATAATAATAATACCATAGTCGCATGTGGCTCGAAACGTTGTACGCGTATAGGGCGCACGCGTGTATATCTAAAGCTTGTGCGTTGCGTTACTCACTCTCCCAGCCGGTTGCCATGGCGCCCTGTCTGGCCGATTTCTTGGTCAACTTCCACGCGGCAGACTTCGCCTTTGAGCAGAGCGGCACGGACTACCAAGCACCTCTCCTCGAGGCCATGGGCAGGAACCCCAAATGGTGGCAAACGCTTCAGCGATTGAAGGCCCAGGCGGTGACGGACAATATTGACTTGAAGACAGCAATTCAGAACTTCGCGACCAACCACCCGGAGGAGGCCAAGGAGGAGGGGACCAAGGAGGCCCGGCCTCAGCCTCCAGCGGGCGCGAAACACCGACGCCTGACGCTCGGCGGCACCTTCGCTGGGATGGCCGCCCCGGAAGCAGGAGCCCCGATGGAGGAGGACGAGCCTTCGGATGACATAGTGATGCTGGGCAGGCTGCAAACCTCCATGACGAACATTCAGAAACTGGCGCAGAAGCTGGACGCCCCGCTCAGCAACAACGCTGCGGCGTGGAAGGGCCGGGCCACGAGCATGAAGGAGTTCTACGAGGGCATGGACAAGGTCGTCCGCGCGTGCTCGCGCGACGCCGGAACCAATGACCTACTGAGCAAGGTGTGCTCGGCTGGCCCCCTCATCGCCTTCGAGGTGAAGTACTGCAACAAGATGAAGGAGACCTTGGACAAGATCAAAGCGAAGATCAACACCGAGGGCTTGTCGGACAAGGCGTCGGCCATCATGGCGAGCGGCCCGCTCCGGAAGGGGATCGAGAGCACGCCGAAGGGCATCTATGCGACGCTGCTCGAGATGGGGGCGCAGCAGGAGCACCTGCGAACGTGGTGGCCGATGTCGGTCGCCGCGCCTGGCTGGTCGATGCACTACAAGGACGAGGTGCCCCTGTCGGCCGAGCGCGACTTCACGGATCTGATCGCCACGATCGCGATGGACAAGGACGTCTTGAAGAAGATCAGGCGCAACGTGGACGAGGGCGCCGACGTGATTCTGGAGAAGGCCAAGGGCACCGGCATCATGGACATAGAGATTGTAGTTGCGAAGAAACCGAAGCCCCACGGCAAGGCGCCCGAGCGCCACGGCTAGGGCACTGAGGGGAGAAAGGACACGCTGAAAGCACAACGAAGCACGACCGCTCCGCAGCTCCGCGCCCGGCCGCCCCCCCCCCCCCCCGCCCGCCCGCCACTTCCTCTCTTCGCAGAGCCGGCGGTGCACGACGGTCTCGGGGCCGAGTAAAGACGGCGGCGGCGGGGGAAACCCGCCAGGGGTACTTACATGTTCAGAGTACAAAGCTATCCTTTCATGCTGCCTCCCCCCCTCCTTTCCCCCCCCCTCCCTCCCGCCCGCGCCCCCCCCCCCCCCTGCCCCCCCCCTCGCCTCCCCCTCTCCTGCCCGCCCCTGCCCCCCCCCTTCCCCTCTCGCCCCCCCTTGCCATGGAAGGGGGCAGTTGCTCGCCTGGAGACCGCCGGGAGAGGCGGGGGAGACAGGCGGCAGCGAAGCACCGTTGATGGTAAAGACCACCCTTCTCAACAGTTTCCGCCGCCGGCAGAGGAGAGCCGAACGGTCCACCCATGATTCCCCTTCCAGCCCCCCCCCCTCGCCCTTCCTCCGCAGGCCGCAACGGTGACACAGCACGCGCGCCTACATTATCTCACCCCCCACCGGAAGGCAGGGCAGAAGCCCAACACCTTCCGTTGGGGAGACTGGGCAGAGCAGAAGCCCGCGCGCCTGGCCGCCCCTGCTGGCGGGCTCACCAGAGGTGGCCTGTCGGCACGCACTTTTCTTTGTTTGCACAAGCGCGCACGAAAACGCACAGCCCAAACAGTGCTGGCGCCGTCAGAGGCGCGACGGGTCAGCCGCGGGGACACCCCCAGCGGAGACCGACCAGCCACGCGCCTATGCCCGCTCGCAACACGAATCGTGGAATCCGCAGCGTTGACGCTCAGGACAGACGGAGACGCACACGCGCGGCAAAACGTCGAGCGGCACGCAGGGGGCACAGGCGAGCGAAACAGGCATCGAAAGGAAATGGCACCCGGGCCCAGGCCCAGGAACCCAACGCACCCATGCAAGTGGCGGAGCCGGTGAAATACGGAAACACCATTCGCATTGCATCACTCAACACCAAAGGCATGAAAATTGCGGGGAAGCGGGGCGAAATCGAAGCCTGGATGCGCAGGAACAATGTCGGGATAGTTGGTTTGCAAGAAACACACATAAACACAAACTCGAAGGAACAAGGCAGGGAATACCACCGATACTTTGCAGGGGAACCCAAGACAGGGGAGGCAGCACGGTTCGCAGCAGGAGTGGGGTTTATGATCCAAAAAGAGCGCGTGGAACATGTTTTGGACGTGACCCCCGTGAGCGATCGCACATGTACGTTGTCGTTGGCGCACACACCGCCCATCCACATTATCACTGTGTACGCACCAGCGGCAGCAATACCAGAAACGGACAAGTTATAATTTTATAATTCACTTGAGAGAGAGAGAGAATTCACCAGACGCCGGGGTGTTGGCCCAACGTATGTCATGGGCGACTGGAACGCACGGGTGCACTGCGCGACCTCAGAGGAGGAAGCGGCGGTAATAGGCAAACACACGTTCGACCCTGAGAACACCAACCAGCTGGGACGAGCTGAGGAATCAGTGCACAACCGGCACCTCTTCTTGACCTCCTGTCAAACACATCGGTTAAAGGCAGCCAGCACATTCTTCCAGAAGGACAAAAGCAAACTCGCCACGTACAGGGAGCCGTGCACGACGTTAGAAGGCCCATTCAAGAGAGGAACGCACGAGCAGCTCGATTTCTTCGTAGTCATGCAACGATGGCGGAATTCTGTGCTGGACTGCGAGACAGACACATCCGCGAACATCGCTTCAGATCACTATCCACTTACCGCTACGATCAGGATCAAACTGAAAGCCAATGACAAGTCACGTGGATCCAGCAGGGCCAAATACAGAGAGTGCAACATGCAAGAGTGGATGCAAGTCAATGAATCCTTCCACCAGGCAATGCAGGACACCGCGGATCTAAGGGAAGCCATTTGGAGAGCTTGCGCCTCACTGCCGAGGGATCGTCGCAAAGCACGACACCAAACCATCTCGCGCCGGAGCGAGAAGCTTCTTGACCAGCGGCGCAGGATGCTGGCCGCCGGCAAACTCGGATGTTTCGCTGCTCTGACACAGATGTTCCGCAGCAGCCGCAGAGAAGATAGAAGGCAGCATGTATTGAGCACTCTGCGCGAGGAGCTAGATATTCGCGACAGATTGATGGGAATCGGTAATCTTAAGAAGGATCACCAACCACAGCCGTACCATGTGAAAAAGAAGGACGGCACACCTATACCTCGGCACCAAATGGTGGAAGAAGTGGCGAAACACTTGGCGACGGAGCAGTGGGGGCGCCAACCAGCCGAGAACGAAGTGCTTAGCGAGGCATCAATTGTCGCAGCGCCGGTCCAAGTAGACCTAAGGCCGCTACGCAAGGAGGAGTTAAAATTAACCATGGGAAAATTGAAGCGCCGCAAAGCCCCAGGACCCGATGACATACCTACCGAGGTATACAAGGAACTCACAGAGCAGACCCTTGACCCAATACTAGCACTGCTTGACGATTGGTGGGACAATGAACACATCCCTCCAGATGTGTTGGAAGCTCACGTCATTTTGATATTCAAAAAAGGGGACACGAGCAATCTTGCCAACTACATACCGATATCTTCATTGAATACCACTTACAAAATATACGCGTCGCTAATACAAAAACGGTTGGCGGCTGGTCTGGAGGCGCATATGCAACGGACCCAGTTCGGATTTCGAGCAAAACGATCAACCTCCACAGCCATACATTGTGTGCGCAGGGCCGCTGAAGAGACAGAAATCACTGGCCAACAGGTCTCTCTGGTACTTCTAGACTGGGAGAAAGCTCTTGATAAACTTACCCGGAAAGGTTTGTTTTCGGCGTTGCAGAGGGTGGGAGTGCCGGCCAAGTTGCAAAATCTCATCAAGTCACTGCACCAAGATCCCAAATTCAAAGTTGAATACGACGGCCAGACATCCGATTGGTATTCACAGCAGTCCGGAATTCGACAGGGTTGCCCCCTATCGCCATATTTGTTTTTGGTAGCCATGACTGTCATGTTCCACGACGTTCACCAGTCAGTGGATAATCTCATAGCGGGCCACAGGGCACAGGGAGCGAATATCGATGAAATCTTATACGCAGACGACACGATCGTTGTCTCTAGGGACACCAGGGCAATAAACAGGCTTCTGGCAGCAATCGAGCGCGAAGGAGCCCGATATGGGATGAAGCTAAACAAGGGGAAGTGTGAGGTTGTCGCAGCACACGGACATCCTAACATACATTTTGAAGATGGCACGAGTGTTAAACGGATGGACGAGGTAAAATACCTGGGATGTCGCTTGAACGAAACATGCGACAGCACGCGGGAGGTACAAGCTAGAATTGGAGTGCGCATGGCAACACTCAAGGAAATGGATTTATTCTGGAGACACAGCAGGTGCCCCGCCAAATTATAACTGCAAGTGCAGGACGCAGTCATCAAATCGAGGCTACTGTATGGCCTCGAATCAGCCCAGCTCACTCAGGGCACATTGAATCGATTCGACGCCTTTCAGCTCAAAGGACTCAGAAAAGTTTTGAAACTGCAAACAACATACGTCAATAGAGCCAACACGAATGAAAAAGTGTACGAAGCGGCCGAAAACGCGTTTCGACAGGGAGGACGAGAACAGAGACCTATCGTCAAGTTCAGTACAGCGTACGCCAGGAACAAATTTCTACTCTACTAAGCCATCGTTCGAGCTGAACCCAACCACCCGGCGCATGGAATTACGTTCGGTCTTGTCACACTGCAACCCAGACAGTGGACACGCCAGAGGGTAGGCCGTCCCCGGCTAAATTGGGCGGAGCAGACAACAGCTGAATATTGGAAAGCTATCCGGAGCTCGCTGCCGCCAGCTCTCCGCTTCGCAGTGGTCGATACCACGAACCCCCTTCACACGCAAGCTATCCGTAATGCCGCCCAGAGACAGCTTATTACTTGATCGTCGTCATCACCCCGTTGTCTTTGGTCCTTTCTCCCCCCTTTGCCTCCCCCCTCCCTCTCCCCCTTTCCTTCCCCCCCTCGCCAAGTAGGTGTTCGAAGGAAAACAACGATACGCTCATCAGCACTCTCCGCCACGCATGTGCCGTGGCAGCTGCACCGTTGGGCGCGGAAGCGCGGTGTTCGCGCAGCGCACCAGCAAAAACAAACTACTAAGATTCAGACAACTAAGAATAAGGATGAAGAGAACAATCATAAACTGCAGAGGAAGAAGAAAGGACAACCATTCAACGACACATGGTGATCTGTGCGCCCCATGTCGGCCCGCGTGTCCGACACGCGGCGATTTCGTGCGCGCTGACAACCCCGCCTTGATATCAGCATCGCCCCGCCCAGTCGGCACGCGATCTTGAAACGGAAGGCTCGGTGGGCACGGCTGCCTTCAAGCCACGACACGCCCGGAAGGCATTTTGGATACCCACTCTCGGGCGCGTGGCAGTGGGAGGAGGAGGAGGAGGAGGAGGAGGAGGAGGAGGAGGAGGAGGGGGAGGGGGAGGGGGAGGGGGAGGGGGAGGAGGAGGGCAGCCCATGGACGTCCAAAAAACCTCGGTCCGAACTCCGATTTTGGAGCGGCACTTCGTGGCAGACGGCGGGGCGGGCGATGGCTACGGGAACCTGCGAGGCGTCGTGGGCCCTTTCCGTTCGGGCACTGCCAGGGCAGGTTGTTAGAGGAACCTCTGGCCCAAGGTGCGCCCAGCTTTTCGCTCGATTTCTGGGCCAGTGGGGCCCTCTGGGCCTCGTGAGGGGTGCTCTGGAGGCCGTGGGGGCCTCCTTGAAAATCCTGGGGGCACCTTGGGCCAGGGGCACTTCTAGCAACACCCGATGCCATGGGGGAGGGTCGCCACCAGGGGGGTCACCACAACTTTAAGATCGAGCACCGGCGAAGAGGAAAGGTCGAGGATCGAGGAGGTGCTGGAGAATCTTGGTCGTCCTTGGGGACATTTGGGGATTCCTGGGGGGCCTGTGTGGGGGGGGGGGGAGCTGTTTCGTGGAGGAGGTCGGCGACCCCCTCAGCGGTGACCCCCTTGGCCACTGCCTGGCGCGCGCAGGCGAACGCCTTCTACGACTCGCGAGGCATCGCCCGCACCAGCGCGCTGCACCACGTGCCCAAGGAGCGCCCGCGGTGCCCAGTCTGGGGCGCCCGACCCCCATCCCGCGGGTGCTACGGTTGCTTCCTCGCTTCAGAGGAGGATCAGAAGAATCTGCTCCTCCGCCTCCTCCTCCCGCTGCTCCTGCTGCTGCCCCTCCTTCGACAACGACGGGGAGGCCCGCTGTGCGCCGCGCCACCAACGCTGGACATCGACTGCTCGGACTGGAGGCGTGTCATCCCGACCTTCGACGCGCAGCCCGAGCCGCACGCTAGCCACTGAGCGATCCTGCAAGAGTAGTCACGTCGGACGCCCGCTGGAAGGATGAGGGCATCATCGGCAGAACCCGACGGCCTTGCCACAGGAAACGGCAGGACGGGGCTTCATGAGGACCCGATCGACCTGCAGTGAACATCAGCGGCCAGGCGAGTAGTGATTCGCACGCTTGGCATGGGAAGCAATGGTATCGAGAGGAAGTTATTAGGACATGCGCGCGGCGCTGAGGTGAACATTGTCGAACGGATTTCATCCATAGTCGAACGATGGTAATCTATCATGCAAGGACATGTCGAACAAGATCGCGATGTTGTGAAGGAGCCGTCATCCATCCGTGGAGCTGCTTGACACCCTGATGGTTAGGACCCCGAATCATGGAAGGAGTGTTTCGCCGCGCTCTCTGCCTCTCCCCAGGTCTTTGTCTGCAGGAACCCCCTTCGGGTCCTGCAGCCTGTGGGTGCATGCTTCTTAGAAGCTGCACCACCTGGCCTGTCCACGGCGGCTCAGTGCTGTCTTTGGCACCGCGGTCGATGCCCACGGCAAAAAAAAGCCCTGTTCTGTCCCGAGCAGCGCTTGCGCTTGGAGTCTCTCCGTCTCCCCTCTCGAGAGCGAGGCCCGCCTGCGGGCCCGGCGGCCCCGTGGCCCGTCCGTCGCCGCCCGATGTGTCCGGGTGGAAGGCCCGTCCGCGGGCCCAGGCGGCCCCGTTCCCGCCCGTCGCCGCACTCAGAGTTTGCGCCACACAGTTTGCCCTCCTCCTCCTCCTCCTCCTCCTCCCTCCTCCTCCTTTCCCTGCCCTCCCTCCTCCTCCTCCTCCTCCTCCTCCTTTCCCCTCCTCCTACTCCTTCAGTTTGCATCACAGGGTGCACACCACGTAGCTGAAACCACATCGCGCACAGCACGTAGCTTACACCGCAAAGCTTTAACCACATTGCTTGCACCACACACCTTGCACAGCATAACTTGCACCACATAGCCTGCACCACGTAGCTTACACCACATACAGTGCCCCACGTGGAATACACCACCTAGCTTACACCACATAGCTTTCACGACATAGCTTGCACCACATAGCTGAAAACACTTAGGTAGTACTACAGCTTCCACGACATAGCATGCACCATATACTTTGCCCCACACAGCTTGCACATCAGAGCTTGCACCACATAGCTTGCACGTGTCTCGCACCACATAACCTACCCATCCATTGTGCAATAGCTGACGGCTTGTGGTCCACGCAGGCTAATATCACAAGACAACGCCCTCCACCCGTTGAGTTGCCGGAGTTTGCCAGCCTCAGTGTCGCACATGTCAAGGTGGTCTTAGGCGAGACCCAGATTTTGAACATGCAGGGCTTTGTTTTTTTTGTTGGGGGGGTAATTGTTTTGGATGTTGTGGTTGTTGTTGTGGTTGCTGTTGTTGTTGCTGTTGTTGTTGTTGATGTTGTTGTTGTTGTGATTGTGGCTGCTGTTGTTGTTGTGATTGTTGTTGTTGTTGTTGTTGTTGTTGTTGTTGAACTTTCATTCTTGAAGAATAATTATTGTTGATCCTCCCCACCGGATTTTTTTCAATTGAAGTGCCCCCCCTCGGGGCTCGCACATTGTTTCTTGTCAAAGAAAATCTTCCTGCTCAAACTGGCCCCCTGCCACCCGGACTACAACAACAACGGCTCCCGCTTGAGATTTCCTCACAATTTAGCCAGGACCCCCGCTCCCGCCCGAGACTTCCTCGCATTCTATTCCGGAATCGCGCTCTCGCTAGGGATTGCCTTACAATTTATTCAGGGATCGCTCTCCCGGCGCTCTAGAGTCGCGCTTTCGCTGGAGATTTGCTTGCATTTTACCATCGAATAGCGCCCTTGCGTTGGATTTTCTTGCAAATTACTCAAGCGCCGCGCTCCCGAGTCGCGCTCACGCGTAGGATTCCCTCACAGATTACCTCGGATCTCGCTGCCCTTCGTGGCCCCGTTGCAGCCCTTCGTGGCCCCCTCGCTTTGTTTCGTGGCCCCGCTGCAGCCCTTCGTGGCCCCCTCGCTGCCCTTCGTGGCCCCGTTGCAGCCCCTCGTGGCCTCCTCGCTGCCCTTTGTGGCCCCGTTGCAAGCCTTCGTGGCCCCCTCGCTTTGTTTCGTGGCCCCGTTGCAACCCTTCGTGGCCCCGTTGCAACCATTCGTGGCCCCCTCGCTTTGTTTCGTGGCCCCGTTGCAACTCTTCGTGGCCCCCTCGCTGCCCTTCGTGGCCCCGTTGCAACCCTTCGTGGCCCCCTCGCTGCCCTTCGTGGCCCCATATATATGCCCTTCGTGGCCCCCGCTCGTTCGCGCCCGTGGTTGCCCCATATGCATGCCCTTCGTGGCCCCGCTGTCGCCCTTCGTGGCCCCCTCGCTGCCCTTCGTGGCCCCGTTGCTGCCCTCAGTGGCCCCGTTCTTGCCCTCCGCGGCCCAATATGCGTATACCCTTCGTGGCCCCCGCTCGTTCGCGCCGGTTTTGGCCCCATGTGCATGCCCTTCGTGGCCCCGCTGTCGCCATGTGTGGCCCCCTCACTGTCCTACGTGGCCCAATTTCTACCTTCACTGGCCCCATCGTTGCCTTCTGTGGCCCCGCATTATCTGCCTTTCGTGGCCCCGCTCGTTCGCGCTCTTCGTGGCCCCATACGCATTCCCTTCGTGTCCCCGCTGTCGCCCTTCGTGGCCTACTTCGTGTCCTTCGTGGCCCTGCTGTCGTTCTCTCTCGCTCTCGCTTTCGCTCGTCGTCGTCGTCGCCGTCGTCGTCGTCGTCGTCGTCGTCGCCGTCGACGTCGTCGTCGTCGTCCTCGTCGTGGTCGGTCCCCTGTCCGTCCCTCTGGGGGTCGGGTCGACGGTCCGCGGCGGCCCCGCCGATCAGCGCTGCCGCTGGCCAGGCCGACGGTCCGCGGCCGCCCCGCCGCTTGCCGGGCCCGGCTTGCAGGGAAGAAAGGTATGCCCCCCAAAATGAGTTCGATCGAAGACGGAGAGGGCGGGTATCGAGGGTTTGGGAAATACGCGTTATTGGACACTCGAGCAGATAAGGGCGAACAGTCTTAAAATGATTGCTGTTGTTGTTGTTGGTGGTGGTGGTGGTGTTGGTGTTGGTGTTGTTGTTGTTGTTGTTGTTGTTGTTGTTGTTGGTGTTGGTGTTGTTGTTGTGTTGTTATTGCTGTTGTTGTTGTTGTTGTTGATGTTGTTGGTGGTGGTGGTGTTGTTGTTGTTGCTGCTGTTGTTGTTGGTGGTGGTGGTGTTGCTGTTGCTGTTATTGTTGTTGTTGGTGTTGTTGTTGGTGTTGGTGTTGGTGTTGGTGTTGTTGTTGTTGTTGTTGTTGTTGTTGTTGTTGTTGCTGTTATTGGTGTTGTTGTTGTTGTTGGTGTTGCTGTTGTTGGTGTTGGTGTTGGCGTTGGTGTTGTTGTGTTTGTTTGTGTTGTTGTTGATGCTGTTGTTGTTCTTCTTCTTTTGATCCAGCGCCAAAGGCACAGGGAATGTGTAGGCAATGAGGCTAGTTTGCCCGAAAAAACTCGACGGATGTTTTGCATAATTTTGGTCGGTTGAAAATCGATTTCTCGAAGTCTGACGGTTATGTTGCTTCCCGCCATGGCTGGCGCCACTGCTGGGGCTGGCTCATCCTCCTCCAGATTCTCCTCCTCTTCACCCCCCCCCCCTCCCCGCATCCGGCATCCGGTGAACCCAGAGTGCACTCCACATTCGCTAATGCGGTTGACTCCGAAACGCGGTTGGACGTCCGCACAGCGCTTTTCCGAATCGCGCTCGCGATGGCTTCAGTGTTACACGTGCCCATCCAAGAGACTTGGCAATGAGCTCTAATTCGGCAGGCCTTCTCAGAAGGCGGCGGGGCTTCTCAGAGGCCATCGGGCGTTCTGAGAAGCGCTCTGTGGCTCCAGAGGTTAGAAGTGTTTCAGAAGGCGGGGTGCCTTCTGACTGGAAAGGCCCGCATCCCTCTGCTCCGCCTCCTCCTCCTCCTCCTCCTCCTCCTCCTCCTCCTCCTCATCCTCCCCCTCTTGCGCTCTTGCGCTCCTCAGCGGTCGTCCCGATAACACAAGACGCCCGCCCTTTAAAGAGTTACGGAAACTCAGCGCCTGAGGGGGGCAGGGACAATCGCCTCCAGTTTAGAGTACGAGGGATCCTTCCCCTGCTTCAAAATCCCCAGGGCTTTCCGTTTCCAATCAGTGTCGGGGTTCCCCGAACACTCCTTGCTTAATTCCTTGACCTTCGAACGGGCATACGCTCCACAGCGCACGCACCAGGTCAAACCTCCATTCTGCCAGAGACGATGGGTGGGGTGGGCCTGGGACACAATCCTCGGAACCCCAGGGCACGGCAGCTGCACCAGCCGAGAGCGAATCGCCCGCGACATCCCACAGACACTGCACCCCCACCCACCGCCAGGAGCCTGCGAGACAACGTGACCCTTATCATCTGGGACTATCTCGAGAATCGGGGCCTCCGAATTCTTAGGCTCTCTTTGGGCACGCTCAGAGTATGAAGACACATCAGGATAACCCAGTTGATGGACATGCTTGAGAACAGCCACCATATATCTGGAGATGAACGTAACCTGATCATGATGATGCCGCAGACGATCACGAAGGTGATGATTTGCTGGATGCGCCTTGGCACCTTCCTTGGCCCAGGAGTCCGCCTCCTGGTTTCCTCTGAACCAATGAGGCTCATAACCTCGTCGTTCAGCCGCCGCCTTCGACATATGCGAAGGCATCCAACTCACATTCACCGAATTTACTCCGACGTCCTCGATCCTCATCCAGATGAGGCGCCAAAGCTCCGCGTGGCACTTGTTGGATTTTTCCGTCCCCTCCCTTCCCATGTTCCACCCGTCGTAGACCATTTTACAATCCGTTATGATGTGGATACTGGGCCCCATGAGGCACAGCGCCATGTAGAAGGCGTAAAGCTCACTGGACGGCACGTCCTGCACTGGGAGAGGGGAAGGCCCGTAGGCCACTGCATCTACCTGCATGCTCGGGCTGATGGAGACGACCGACCAGCCAGCACGTAAAAGCCAACGAATATCTCCGTCGTAGGCGGAACCGTCGATGCAGACAGTGTCTCCTAGCGCTCCACTCGCGGGCTTCACAGCCCACCTATACTCAGCACCTTGGAGGATCTTGGGGAACTCGGTCCTCTTGGAGTCCACCAGGGCTCTCGTGAACAGGATGTCAGGCTGTGTCAGGGCCCTGGCTGCGGCCCCCATTCCACTATGGTCATGGTCCCTCCTGATCAGCTTGGAGCCATCACAGCCCCATATTCGGTGAAAAACCGTACCCTTCTTCTGGAGACACCACTGGCACCGATCATCTATCACGTACCTCTTCCTGAAAACATCAGCCTGAGTCCAGAGACCTCCAGAAACCTGAGCAATAAGCAGACTGACCCCAAGATGATCTCCAGCACCTCTTAACCTAGCAAGTTCAGCACGCAGAGGCTCCACATATGGTTCCCAAGAGACATTGTAATGAACCCCCGCACGTATACGCAGCAACCGTCTAGTCGCTTCATCCGCTAGGGTTTGCACCGTCCTAGGCCCTACTTCTTTGATGTTGATGGTCACTCCGTCGGTGTTAACCCAAACATCCCAGGAAACAGCTTCCCAATCGAGTCTCTGAAGGGTGAGCACTACCGCTCCTGCTGGGCCTAGGACCGTCCTCCACCCTTGAGACCTAGCCTTGACCGCGTAGTCGAAGGCGTGCTTCATCTGGGCGTCCGTGGCCCACGAATCAAATACTGCTCTGACCCACATCTGTAGAGGCAAAGAATTTGCTGCGAACATCGGGTCGAGCTTCTCGACCTCAGCCAACAGGAACTGCAAGCTGCGGCTGCGGCCGTTCACAGTCCCGGAAAGAGCCGCACCTGTCGAGGCGCGCTGCTGCTCCAACTGCGTGTCGCCGAGGCCGACGACCGAAACACCATACATGACCGCCGGTGTGGGGCCTCCTCGATAAACATTCTGAAGCGGCTTCCGAGAGAATCTGAAAGCCCTGAACCGTCGCATCCTGCCCCTGGTCGTCGTCAGTCGCTTTTTAGTGACATTTCTACCCTTTCCAGCCCTCAGCTTGAAATCAACCCCGAGGTTTTTGGTCGCCTGAACATGCTTGAACCCGAATTCCCGAAGCGCCCATGCCAGCTGCTTTCCTAATTTCGGGTCCGAGGCCACCAGGATCGATTTACGTCTCGAAACTTTCAGCTCGAGCTTCTCCAGGGACCTGCAAACAAACAGAGTGCACCTAACTAGTTGAGTCCGCACATGCTTCTGATCTCCCACGGCCTGGAGACCAGTGTCGTCCACCATCAAAGAAAGACCGATCCTCGGCCACTTCTTGGCCGCCGCGTCGAAAACATCTAACAGCACTACTTTCAGCAGCGTCGTCGCATACGAGCAGCCTGCCACTATGGTGGCGTTCAGCTCAAAGGGCATGGACATCGCTTCTCCTACTTTAATGACCCGCTTGCCCGAGTAGACCAACATGAGAAACTTCAACCTCCTCAAACTGAACCCGTGCTTGTTGCATGCTCGTATCAATTGCTCGTGCGCGATGCGTTCGTACGCCTTTTCCAGATCAATCAGCGCGCCCCCACTGAAAAATGCTCTGGCTCGAGCGGCCTCGTTCAACAAAGCCTGCTTCCAGATAGCCATCTCGCAACTCTTACCCTTTCCTCCATACATGTACGTGCGTGCGTGCTTGTCCTCCCACCTTTCCGCCTCCTCATGCCGAAGTCGACTGTAGAGTCTCACTGGGGTGGAGATGATCCCCATGGGCCTCCCCCGCTTCTGCAAAAACGGCAAAATGAGCAGCGCAATCTGCTCGGGCATCTGGGTGTACGTGTCCCACAGATACATCAAGACACTGAGAGCAAGCAAGCCAGAAGAACAGAGCTGCTTCAGCGCGTGCGGGGCCCAGTTACAAACTCCCACAGCTGCATGCTTCTTGAACTTCCCCAAGACGGACCTGATTTTATCTGGCGCAACTGGCGGCTTCGGGTCCTCGAGGGGCATCTCATTGAGCATCCTGGGAGCGACCTTGGGCACCTCCCCGAACCTCCAGATGCGCTTCCACTCCTCCTCCAGGGCCTCCACCTGATCCTGAAAACCTCCAGGGGCCCCATCGAGGCCAGGGTCCGCGGGGATCCAGTCGTTGGGCTGCTTCGTCCACTTGTGAGCTTGCCCCCCGCCATTTTCCAGGGCCGAGCGGGCCCATTGTCTCCGCTCTTGTTGCCGAGACCTTTTCCAAACCTGCTCCTCACCCTGGATGCACTTTACATGGTCCTGGATCGCTTCGTGCAGCGCCTCGGCGTGGTAGCCTTCCAGAGAAAAATGCTTATGCCTCCAGTTGACCCAGCGCTCGCACTCCCACAAGATCGTGGGCGGCTCCCTTGCCTTTTTCAGCAAGTCCTGCACCTGCTTATCCTGGCCTGAACGGCCCTTGCGGAGCAGAAACAACAACTCCTCCATCCTGACGTTATACCTCCTCATTGCCCTGGATACTGGAGATCCCAGAGGGTAGGGGCCCCCAACTTTCGTTAGAGCATGCCTCCAAACGAACCTGAAAGGGGCTCCTCTTCCTTTGTACCCATCAGCCTGCGCAGGAGCGATCTGGTAAGTGTTCACCAGCTCCTGCTCGGCCAAAGCACAGAACTCAGCATACGTAGCCTTCGCCTGCTCTGCCGTGAAGACCGAGCCTGCCACGAAGGTCTCCAACCTATCTAGAAACTCTTCCCAAGCTTGCGGTGGGGCTGGTGCAGGTCCCACTGGTAGCCCATCGGGAAACTGACGAGGTTTGGCCAAGACGCGAATCTGAGCAAGATGCGAATCCGTGCGAAGTACTAGCTTGACTGGATAATGTGTCGACAGCTCTGTCTCTTCGATCATATCGCATCTTACCACTGCTGGAACAAGGCCTCCTGAAAGTATGAAATAATCGATCGTTCTCCATTCCTTACCCACTCTGCACGTAGGCTTCCCAGGCTGGATAATAACACCTCCGAACTTCTCAAGGATCCCGAGAGCTCTGATTTCATCTGCCGTCGCATTGAAATCCCCTCCAATGACAAAGGGCTTCCCAGACGTGTACAGGGTCTCTCCGAGCTGCATCAGGATCTGGCGCCCTTGGGCACCTGCACCTTCCCCCGACGGTAAGTAGACCGAGGCCCCTATGATGCCACCTTTCAGCAAACCACCTATCCACGCTGAGGCAACTCTCGAGGTTGGTCTCGGCATACCTTCCAGGGCACCCATGCCTACTCCTACTCTACTGGCGACTCCTACCCCCGAAGACAGGCCTCCAGACTGGGTCACCTCACAGGCTCCTAACCTTACATTCCATCCAAACTTCAAAAGAGTGCTGCTGGATTGGGCCAGATCGGCCTTCTCGATTTTACACTCCTGAAGGAAACATGTGACTCCATCACATTCCTTTTCCAAATAGCTCTGGCATCTCGGCCAACTGGTGACATTGGCCGAGAAGAAACTCCACAGGCTAGGAACTGGACAACTTAGATCTCGATCCTGGGCTCCTGCTGCGGCTTTCTCGTTTTGCCAACTCTGCTTTCTCCTCCTCAAGGCGCTGGGTCGCCTTGCTGAACAGGCTCTGGATGGTGGCCTGCACTTCGGGGTCCTTGAGCTTGCCATCGGACTCCAGCTGAGAGCGAAGGTCAAGAAGCACACCACCATCAGCTTCCACCATCTTGACGTCGCGCGACGTGTCGGCGCCGCTGCCTGCGGCACCCTGGGCGCCTGGCGGCGGGGCACCAGCGCCAGCGCCTCCCGCTCTGGCGGCGCCCGCTCCCGCGCCCGCGGCGGCGGCGCCACCGGTGCCGCCTGGCGCCGCGGCGCCCCCAGGCGGCTTCCCCTGCATCGCCGCCGCGGCCTGCTGCGCCACCGCCTCCATGGCCGCCCTGAGCGCAGCGACCGCGCCCTGCAGCTGCGGGGCAATCTCCGACGGCACCGCCTGCTCGAACTTGCCCAGCGCCTCCTTGATCGGCGTCTCGATCGCGTCGGTCGCGACCTGCCGCGCCAGCCCCTGGGGCCCCAGGTGCTCCGCCGCGCGCCGCTTGGCCTCGCACAGCTGCTTCTCCGTCTCCTGCAACTGCTGCTTGGCCTCGACCGCCGCCATGATCGCCTGCTGCGCCTGCTCCTCCAGCTTCGCGAGCCTCTGCTTCTGGTGCAGCACCTGCTGCGAGAACTTCCCAATCTGTAGATTTGCCTGCTGCGCCTCCGCCTGCGCGCCCTGCAGCCCGAAGTTGGCCATGGCACGAGCGTGGGCGAGCTGATCTCTGTGCGACTGCGACAAGCTTTGACCCAGAACGGCGAACTGCTCCTCCGACATGGCCATCCACATCTCGCGCTCCTCCTGCGCGAGGGCCCGTGGCGGTTGTCCACCACCTGGCCCTTTGCCGCCCTGAGGGGACTTACCCCCCCCAAGGCCCTTCTTGCCGCCCTTGTCGTACTTGCCGCCACCTTTGCCTCCATCACTCTGTCGAAGCGCTGGAGGCCCTTGATACCACACACCGCCTGGCACCGAGTACTGTGGCCAGTAACTCTGATCAGGCCGAACTGCTTGAACTGGGTTGCACCCATCACATCCACTTTGGCGGCAGACGCGACGGTGCCCGTAGTTGAAGAACCCGCACTTGCCACAGTACCATCCTGGCGCCATGGCTTGAGAGGTCCCTTCTTCCTGAAAACGGAACCACGGCCGCGCAGGCGGCTCGCCGTGGGATCGATCGTGCTCGCGAAAAACCTGGCCTGAAACGGCCTTGAGAGTGGCCACGGATGGGCAACAAGACCAATCAGGTTACCTCGCAACTACGTCGCTTCCCCCCGTTTGGTCTTGAGCCAAAATGGCTACGGACCTCATCCTCCCCCTCCCCCTCCTCCTCCTCCTCATCCTCCTCCTCCTCCTCCTCCTCCTCCTCCTTCTCCTCCTCCCCCTCCTCCCTCCCACACCTCGCCGACTAAAGGATTTTGAGAGCGCACTCTTGAGAAGACAACGAGGCGAGCGCTGCTCCCGTGCGCTGCCTCCCGCTTCGCACTCTGGCGCCCCGGCGCCCGCCTGCAGCACATCCCAACGGCGTGCAGGCCCCCCCGCGGTGCTGTCCTCCCTCCCTCTCCTTCTTCCTACCTCCTCCTCTTTCTTCCCCCTCCTCCTCTTCCCTCCCCCCCCTCCTTCCATCCCCCCTCCTCCTTTCATCATCTCTCCCCCCCTAGAAGTGCCCCTGGCCCAAGGTGCCCCCAGCTTTTCCTGCAATTTTCGGGCCTCTGGGGCCCTCTGGGCCTCGGGGCACCTTGGGCCAGGGGCACGTCTAGCAACACCCGAAGATAGGAGGAGGAGGAGGAGGAGGAGGAGGAGGAGGGCCTTGATCCTGAGAGAATCCATGTACTTGAGGGCCTCGGGGCACCTCGAGTCTCGGGGCACTTCAGGCAGCACCCGATCTCTCCGCCTCGCCAGGCCGTCTGAGCCGCCCGCCAGAGCCAGAGAGGCTCCCGCGGACGGCACGGGGAGGGCCCAGTCTCTCGGGTCTTCCGCCTCCTCCTCCGCCGCCGCCTCCTCCTCCTTCTCCTCCTCCTCCTCCCTCCTCCTCCTCCTCCTCCTCCTCCTCCTCCTCCTCCTCCTCCTCCTCCTCCTCCTCCTCCTCCTCCTCCCCTCCTCCTCCTCTCCTCCTCCTCCTCCTCCTCCTCCTCCTCCTCCTCCTCCTCCTCCTCCTCCTCCTCCTCCTCCTCCTCCTCCTATCCAGAGAGGCGGAAGGACAGCATTGGGCATGCACATGCCGTTTCTGGACCATCGTGATCATAAGCATGAGCAGTTTTCCAAGGGCACCCTCTGGTGATTGCATCTTCGGCCCATCCTCGGCCATTATCGCCGGCCACCTCTCAGTCAAAAGGATTCGACTTGGTCGTGCAAGGTCCTTGTGCCCCTGCCGCGCATCCTTATGATCCTGTCGCGGTTGATGCGGTATCTGGGCCTGGCCGGTAGCCGATTTGCAGCCGAGACGTTGAAGCAGGGAACAGTTCGGGATCGGAATGGGTTCGTTGTTCCTTACGTCCTTCCATGGTTGTTCCAGCGCTCCCCGCGCACAAATCGCGCTTCTGTGGCTAGAAATGGTTTGGATCCTTCTGTCACTTTCTTTATGGTAGCAGCTTGATTTTAGGCCAGGGTCTCGGCCCCTCCTCCTCATCACCCTCTCCTCGTGTCGCCTCCAGGAGACCTGAGATAGAGAATCGCGCCTCATGCCTGGCGGGCCGCGCTGGAGAAATGTTTCTTCCCGGGCGGCGACGGGAGAGGGCGAGGATAGCCGCGGTTACACGCTCCGCGGAGCGCGACGCGCGGGTCAGGTGGGCCATCCTTTCTGTGTCTCCCCACCCTCGGATTCCACTCCCAGGAAGCTGTGATGGCCCTCGCCTTGGCCTCTCTTTGGCGCGAATCCCGATCAGTTAAGTTCAGTCCGTGTTTGCGTATTGGCCACGTCGTCCAGTTTCCCCCTATACCCAGCTGAAGATCTTAATTGTCGTGCCTGTACAGATATCCTAACTGTTGCGGCGACGCCACAGGGGAGGCAGGAGGAGGAGGCCAGCACTCCAAGAAGCCAGGGTTTCTTCTGAAACGGACTGGAGATTTCTGACAAGGCTCCTTAGAAGGCAGGGCGGCTTCTGAGAAGCCCCCTGCCTTCTTAGGAGGACGCCCCCGACCAAAGCCCGCCTGTTATCACGCCTCTGGTGCCCCTCCCCGGGCCCCCCCGGGTGCCAGTGTTTTGAGCTGCGTCCACCCGTGGCCACGAGGAGCCTCCAGGGGGCCCGCAGAGGGCGGAACACTCCAAAGCCCCTCGCCCCGCCCCCTCCCCGTTTCTCAGGCGATCGCAAACATGGATCGAGGGGGCGTGGATGAGCGACGGGTCCCGTTTCCAGGGGAAGTCGCGGCCTTCCGCCGCCGAGCGAGGCGGCACCGGCCGCATTTTGGGGGAGGGCACCTCCCCCGATGCATGGATTTGGCGACCGCGCGCCGAATCCAGGGATCGCCAATCCATGTTTGCGCGCCCCCGACTTTCTGCGCGCCGCCACAAGCTACCTCCTTTCCTTTCTTGCTCCTCAGTCCCGGTTCCTGGCTGGAGCTGCGGCCGGGCCTGCGGCCGGGCCCGCGCTCTTGCTCCCCTTCCCTCCCCGTCCTCCGCTGCGGCTGTGCGCAAGCGCCAGACCGTGTGAATTTGAGGCTTGCCTTTGCCTCCTGACCTCCCGCCAGCGCGAGGAGCGCAGGATGACATTCGGCGACGAGAACGCGAGCGCCTCTCGCCTGGAGGCCATGCGGATCGCCAAGACGCAGGAGGGGCCCGCCAGCGCCAGACGCACCGGCCGCTCGGCTCGAGACGCGCCGGCGGCGGCTCCTGCCGAACCTGGCCGCAGGGTTCGCGTCGCCGAGCGGGGTTGAAGTTGGTTCGGGGGCTGCGGTGGGGCACCATTGTCAGAGAGGGAGCGGAACCACTGTACACGGGTTAGGAGCATTGAGTGCCGGACTTCACTTTTTTCCCCTCCTGGCTTGACTGGTATTGAACAGTTGGTGCCCATCCAGCGCAGGCCCCCCAGCCGCCTCCAAGTGAAGGGAACGAAGCCGGGTCCTGAGATCTGCCGCCGTTTGGGGCTCCGCTGGGCCCTCCACGAGCCCCAGGATGGTCGGAAGGCGGCTCGGGACGAAGAGTTGGCCTTGGGGGAAGGCCTTGAAGTCCAGGACCCGCTTCCCTTCCGGCGAAAGGCGCGCGGGCCTCGTGCTTGGCGTCGGGGCGCCGTGGGGAGATCGCGACCTCGGCGGCGCGCTGGGTCACCGCACCGTGTGGTGAGTGTCTGGGGATTCGGGGTGACCGCACGGTTTTGGTTTTTGTTCTCCGAGGCTGCCTCGGGCAACTGGGGCCTCGGACTCCGAGGTCCCAGAACGGTGCGGTGACGGACCGCGCAGTGAGGTTTTTCCGTGCGGATTCCGACGTCGCCGCATGGAGACTCAGGCGATCGCAAACATGGATCAGGGGGACGTGGATGAGCGACGGGTCCCGTTTCCAGGGGAAGTCGCGGCCTTCCGCCGCCGAGCGAGGCGGCACCGGCCGCATTTTGGGGGAGGGCACCTCCCCCGATGCATGGATTTGGCGACCGCGCGCCGAATCCAGGGATCGCCAATCCATGTTTGCGCGCCCCCGACTTTCTGCGCGCCGCCACAAGCTACCTCCTTTCCTTTCTTGCTCCTCAGTCCCGGTTCCTGGCTGGAGCTGCGGCCGGGCCTGCGGCCGGGCCCGCGCTCTTGCTCCCCTTCCCTCCCCGTCCTCCGCTGCGGCTGTGCGCAAGCGCCAGACCGCGTGAATTTGAGGCTTGCCTTTGCCTCCTGACCTCCCGCCAGCGCGAGGAGCGCAGGATGACATTCGGCGACGAGAACGCGAGCGCCTCTCGCCAAATCCAGGGCTCGCTAATCCATGTTTGCGCGCCCGCGAGAGACGGCGGTGTTGGTGCAGAGCGAGCGCAGAGCTCTCGAGAGCAGCTCCGGCGGGCGCGCCCGTGCCCAAAAGCTCGGGCCCCGTGGCCCTCGCAGGTGGACACGGCGCGGCCAGTCCCGCGCAAGGCTCGGGTCGGGAGTTGCGGTCGCTGGGCGACCGACCGGCTTTTGAAGGCAAAAACGAGCTTCTGGATCCCAGAAATTTGCTTTTAACTCCCATTTTTGGGGGGAGTTCAAAAACCAGTTTTTTAAATTCAACAACCAGTAGTTTGGGAATTCAAAAACCAGTTTTGGAGCCAAAAACGGGATTCTGGATCCCAGAGATTTGTTTTTGACTCCAATTTTTTGCAGAGGGAGTTCAAAAACCAGTTTTTGGAATTCAACAACCAGTTGTGGAACTCAAAAACCAGTTTTTTAAGTCAGATAATTGTTTTCTGAATTCAAAAACACTTGTTTTAGTCAAAACAGTGATTTTTGAATTCAAAGATCAGTTTCACGACGCCCTGATGTCCAAGCGTCGTGATGAGGTCGCGACAGGCGTGTTCGCCCCCTGTTCAGGCCCCGAGCCCCCACCAAACGATCCAGCTCGAGGATGCGGTCGAGAGCCCTGGTCGTGATGTGCTCACGACGTCGGATGTCTCGGTCGAGACATGCGAACAGAGTGTCTGTGGAAGGCGGGCATGCCGTGGCATTGTTCATCGCCCATCTCGGGGTGCATCGTCAGCAGTATCGGTCGGATCTGGTGGCAGCCGAGCCCGCGAGCCATGCCCCCCTCCCAGCAGCAAGGTTTAGGGGATAGCTTCGTGAAAGCGTCGTCGACGGCCCGATCACCCTTTCTCAGCCGCAGAAATAGTTTGCAAGCTGAATCGACAGAATGGGCCTGGGGTGAGGTCCGCTTCGCAGAACGAGCGTGAGCAGGAAGATGACGAGCAGGACAACGTGGACGAGGAGCAGGAAGAGAAGGAGGAAACGAATGCGGAAGAGGAAGAGAAAATAAGGTGAATGGTGAGGAGCAGAAGAAGGACGAGGCGGATGGGAATGAGCGGGAAACGAGCAGGAGGAAGGGCAGGGAAGGGAAAAAGAACCAGGAGGATCGGGTGGTTGGGGGGGATGTGGGATAGGATGAGAAGGATGAGGAGGCGAACGTGGAGGACGATGTGGACAACGAAGGAGAGGAGGCGGATGGGGTGGATCGGATGAGGACGACTTCCTCCCCAACCATCTGTTGGTTCGATGTTCGCCATCCGTAGTCGTCCTCTTCCACCCCCTTTTCATCTCCCCCCCATCCTCGAGAGGGCGGGGGATTCTGGGGTGGCGGTCTCACATTTTTTCAATTTCGGCCTCTCGCTGTAGCGCCGCGCACATTCTCTCCAAAATCTGATTCTCGCCTGAGCGCCGCGCACGTTTTTGTTTTGGTTGGGTGGGGGGAAGTCCGCTGGTTGGCCAGTCACCCCAGGGGAACTCCACTGGTAAGCCAGCCACCCATGGGGTAGTCACTGACGGTGTCCGTCCACCCCAAGGGTGGCCCACTGCTGGTCCCTCCACTGTCTGGGGCCACTGCCGTCCACCCCAAGGACGCCCAACTGTAGACCCTCCACTCAGGGCTTGTGTGCGTGCCTGAATGTGTGGTGGTGGTGGTGGTGGTGGTGGTGGTGGTGGTGGTGGTGGTGGTGGTGGTGGTGGTGGTGATGGTGGTGGTGGTGGTGGTGGTGGTGTTGGTGAGTGTGTGTGTGTGTGCGTGTATGCGTGTGTGCGTGTGAGAGAGAGAGTGAGTGTGTGTGTGTGTGTGTACGTGCACCAGGCCCCCAGGAACATTCCATTGGTGGGCCAGCCACCCAAGTGGTGATCCAGTGGTGGCCCGTGTCTGGCATTGCGTGGTATTGGTTGGTCGTGTTTGGCCTTGATTGGCCGTGCGTGGCATTGATCGGGTGTGCTCGTCGGGGACTGGCATTGATATCTCGTGCTTGGCATTGGGTAATCGTGCTTGGCATCGGTCGTGATTGGCGTTGGTCGGGCCTGCTCGGCATTGAGTGATCATGCGTTCCATTGCGTGGGATTGGTTGGTAGCGCATAACCTTGTTTGGCGGCGAGTAGTCATGCTTGGCAACGCTTGGCATTGCTTGGTCGTGCATGGCACTGCTTGGCGTTGATGGTTCATGCGTTGTATTGATTGGCAGCGATTGGTTGTGCTTGCATTGACCGACATTGGTTGGTCAGCCTTGGCATTGCTTGACATTGGTTGGCGTTGCTTGCCGTTGAGACACCCCCAGGGCTGATGACTGCGACCCCATGGGCCTTTGAAAGAGCCCTTAGCTTCCCTTCGGCCTTCGGGTCGTGTACAGGGTACTGCAATGGGGACCTCCGAGAATAGTCTATATGTGTGTATGTGCGAACATGCATGGCCGTGTGTATATATTTACATACATAGGCTTCAGACTTGCCATTGTTTGACGGTGAGCGGTCGTGCCTCGCATCGCTGGGTATTGCTTGGTCATGCCTGACACTGCTTAGCGTTGACGGCTAATGGTTTCTAGTGGTTGGCAAGCGCTGGTCGTGTTCGCATTGTTTGGCATTGGTTGGCCATGCTTAGCATTGGTTGGTCGTGCTTGCTGCTGATACGCCTCAGAGCTGATGGCGTGACCCCATTGGCCCTTGGGCGGGGCCCGAGCTTCCCCTCGGCCATCGGGTAGTGTTCAGGGTGCTGCGACTGGGACAGCCGAACGCACGCACGCACGCACGCACACACACACACACACACACACACACACCGATATACATCTATACGCATATATATATATATACATATACGCATGTATGTACGAGGACGCTGGCCGCACGGGCACGTCGGGCAAGCAGTGGTGGCTGCACCTCTACGTCATGCTCTCCCGCGCCACGTGCATGCGGAACATGCTGATCCTGCGGCCGCCGCCGCGGGAGTTCCTGGAGCGAGGGCCGCCGGCGCCCCTGCGGAAGGCGCTCCTGGAGTTCGACAAGAGAGCGGTTTTGTCCAGGGCGGAGGCGAAGCAGCTCGTGGCAGAGCTGGGCTTCGCGCTGCCCGCCTGGGCGCGGCTGCGCCCCGCTCGAAGCCCGCGGGGTTGTCCCAACGGCTTGGTTTTGCGCGCAAACGGGTCGCGGGGTTGCCCCGACAGCCTGGCCCGCGGGGTTGTCCCAACGGCTGCGCGACGCGGCCATTAAAGAACGCGCCTGTGCTGGCCGAGGCGGCGACGGCGCCGAGGAAAACCGACATGCGCGCTCATGCAATGGAAAGGCGAAGAGGTGGCGGGGCGCGAAAAAAAACAGGAGGACGAGGTCGGGGGCAACGTAGGGAGCGGGGGGAGGGCCCGCGCCAGAGCGAGAAGAAATATACGCAGAAGAGACAGCCAGGACGCCTCACCAACCACGAGGACGACGGTGAGGGTTTTTTTTTCAGATTCGCCCAGAGGATTCTCATGTGAGGTCCTTCCGTCGGAGTAATTTACATAACAACGCCCCTCATACCTGAAATCAATCACGTTTGGCCCAGGGCCCTGAATGCGATTGAAACAATCAGAACCCCTCAATGTGATTGAGGGCCATAGTTTAAAACAATCACATTGGTGGGGCACTGATTGTTTTAATCACATTAGGCCCAGGGCCCTGAGGCAGCATTGTTTATTTTTTTGTGGGCAAACAAAGGAAAACACGAAATCTGGCGGGGTGGCCCAGCGTCCCCCCCCCCCAGGTCTCAGAGCCCGGGCCCTGAATGTGATTGAAACAACCCGTGCCCTTCAGTGCGATTGAGGCTATATTTTAAAACAAGCACGTTTGGGGGCACCGATTGTTTCAATCACCTGCAGGGCCAGGGCCCCGAGGCTTTTCGGGGGGGGGGGGAGGGAGGGGGGGAGGGGGGGGGGGGGGGGAACACGTCGGGCGGCGTGGCCTGGCGTGTTTTATATTTAATATATATATATATATTATATATATATATATATATATATATATATATATATATATATATATATATAATAATAATAATAATAATAATAATATATGTGTGTGTGTGTTTGTCCTCCTCGTCTTCTCATTATTATTATTCGTATTATTATTAGTATTAAATATCGGTATTATTAGTATTAGTTGTTTTCTTTTTCTGTTTACTATTATTCTTATGATTATTATTAGTGTTAGTATTATTGTTATTCTTATTAGTAGTATTATTATTAGTATTATTATTAGTAGTATTGTTATTATTATTTTTATTATTATTATTACTACTACTACTACTACTATTAGCATTATTATTATTATTATTGTTATTATCATTATTATTTGTCCGTTGCCCCCCCTTCCCCCCAGGCCTCAGAGCCCTGGCCCTGAATGTGATTGAAACAATCAGCGCCCCTCGATGTCATTGTTTTTTATCACGTTCGGCCCAGGGCGCTAACAGTGATTGAAACGATCAGCGCCCCCCCCAATTCGATTCAACCAATCAAGCGCGCCGCGCGTTGGCCTCCAGACCGCCACTCGAGAACACCCCGTTCTCGGGTGGCTGAGTCTGCAGGCAGGGCGACGACCGCCGCCCCAGAATCCCCCGTTCTCATCCTCGAAGCCTCCCCCTCCTTCCCCCTCGCTCTTCTCATCCTTCGCACCCATGTCCTTCCCCCCTCGCCCATCTCCATTTCCTCCCTGACAGCACGTTGATCACGAGGGCGGCTGGGCTGACGGACGCGTTCATCGAAATGCTTGCCGCACAGACAACGCCAGTAGTGCGCTTTGACGTAGCGTCCACACCGACAATTCCATTGCTGCTGGGGGCCTCTTACCATACCCTCTCCTGGGCGAGGACCGAACATCTTACAGATGGGGGAGCTGTGGTGGGATCTAAGGAGGGCTTGGGCCTTGTAAAGAGAAAAGATGATGCGGGCCTGGTGGCGCTTGGCGCGCTGGCGCCTGTGCCACGCAGGCTCCTTCGTGATACGGTTTCAGAGCGTGGCCAGCCTCGCTGGCGGCACACCTGGGGTCAGGCCTTCTCCTGGGCCAAACGCCTCTCCTCCTCCTCTTCGTCCTCCCCCTCCCCTTCCTCCTCCTCCTCCTCCTCCTCCTCCTCCTCCTCCTCCTCCTCCTCCTCCTCCTCCTCCTCCTCCTCCTCCTCCTCCTCCTCCTCCTCCTCCTCCTCCTCCTCCTCCTCCTCCTCCTCCTCCTCCTCCTCATCTGTCATCCCCGCCCCCCCGGGCCCGAGGCGGCGATCCGCGAGAAGGCCGCCGACTACACGAGGGGGGGGCAGCTGGTTCCAGTGGAGCTGCAGAGGGCCTACAGGCCGACCGGCAACGGCCCCCTATAGTGTTCTCCTTCGCCGCCGCCGGGAAGGAGGGAGGAGGACGGGGAAAGCAGGAGGAAGGAGGAAGAGGAGGAGGAGGAGGAGGAGGAGGAGGAGCAGGAGAGTCCCTGCCTTTTGCCGCCCCCCCCGTGGGCAGCCCGCCCGCCCGGCGCCCGCCAGGCAGTGCATGCGCGCCGAGCCGTCGCAGCCCCCGCGCACGGAGCCACTGACGGCGGCGTGCGTGAGCCCGGACCAGCCGCAGGACGGCGCGCCGAGCGTGCGGGGGCGCTCGCCGGCGACCCGCGCTCTCCGCACGTTTCGGCCTCGCCGCCGCCGCCGTCGGCCGGCTGCTGGCCGCCGCCTGCCGCCGCAGACCGCCGCCGGCCGCCGTGGTCGCTGCTGACGCCGCCGCCTGCGTCGGGCCATCGCCGCCGCCAGCTGCCGCTGGCCGCCAGCCGCCGGCCGCCGGCCGCCACCGGCCGAGGGGTTCGTGCGCGTCGCCGCCGCTGTCCGCTGTTCCGTCGGCGGGTCGCCGCCGTCGCCGTTCGGTCGCCGCCGCGGCACGCTGCGCGCGGTGCGGCAGCATCGGGACACTGCATCCGTCAGCCTCGTGCCACCCTTCCCCCTTTCGTCCCTCTCTTCGCCTCATCCCTCCCCCGCGAAGGTGAAGACGGCGACGACGCTCAACGTGACCTGGCCGCGGCCCGCGCAGCCGGAACGTCGGAGGGGGGGGGGCGGTCGCGCACACCCAACAAAGAGCGTCCCGCTGCTGGGCCGCATGCCGCCGGGACTGGGTCAGGATGGAGCGGATGTCTGCACGAACGAAATGGGCACGGAAATGATGGGTACAATGCCCAACAGCAGTTCTTGTCCATGGTGCCCCCCCCTCCCCTCAGACGTCGTGCTACGGTCAGCAGGCTGGGTCTCCCAGGAGATCGTGAAGATGGCCGCCGGCCTCTGCGCTCCGCAGTCTGGGCCCGCGAGTTTTGCCCTTTTCTCCAGTGGGGTGGCGAGAGGTCGCGAAGCGCAGCTGCATGTCGTACGGCCAAGACGCTGGAAGAAGGGCCACTTCGGGGCCAGGCGGGCTGCAGTTTTCGGGCCGATCCTTGGGGCTAGGTCGGGGGAGACGATTCGTGGCTGAGGCGCACCGTGGCTAGACAAGCCCCTTTCGTTCCTAGTGTTGGCGTGCCCTGTGGTAGCACTGTGGTTGGACAAGAGCTCAAGCGGTCACCCTTGAGTTCAGCATCTTTGCCAAGTCATGAAGCACATGCGTGTGAACATGTTGTCGCAGGAGTTGCTGTAGACAGGTGTGCACGTAAGCACGCATGTGTTGCGGGTTTCTTGGCCACCGAGGCTCGAATCTAGAAGTACGTCGTCGAATTTTGCTCCGCGCTTTGGGCGGCGCGAAGAGGGCGCGAAGAGGACTAACATGAGGGGCGGCCTGACGGCCTGACCGACCCCTATAGCCAACCGACGCCTTCCGTGACGACCCCCTCGCCTTGCTCCAAGTCTTGGGCAGGCGGCTGCAGGGGAGCCTCGAGGGCGAGGGGCTCGTCACGGAGGTAGCGCTAATTACTTGCTGCTCTCGTTCGGCATGCCGCCATCGTCGCTGCCCCCCGCCAGGGCAACCGATCCTGCAAGGCCGAGAGCACGAAGCGCCGCCTCGGCTAGGCCGCTCCCGAAACAGAGGGAACCTGCACCGCGGACCCCAATGCACGAGACACCGCATCGTTGAGGCCGCGCCCGCAAGCGTGTGCGCCGCGCCTCGCGCGGCGCGAGGTGTGGGTCAGGCGGCCACCTGCGGAAGAGCAGAAGTCGAGGGCGGAGAGATCCATCGCTCGATTCGACCAGGGGGCCACCAGCTCTTCCTGGAGGTCGACGATCTAGGAGGAGGGGGGGGCGACGAGGAGGGAGGTTCCGGCTCCTCGTGGAAATCGAAGGTCGAGGGAAGGGGGGAGCGGCGACCCTTGGGAGCCCCTGGGGGGGCCTGCTCCTCCCCGAGGCGGTGGCGAGCTTCCCCCTGGTAGGGCGCCCCCGTGGCGCTGCCCAGGGAGAGGTTGCGCCGGCCGCGGTTTGGTCCTCCACCTCCACATCCTCCTCCTCCTCCTCCTCCTCCTCCTCCTCCTCCTCCTCCTCCTCCTCCTCCTCCTCCTCCTCCTCTTCCTCTTCCGTTTCCTCCTTCTCATTCTCTCCCCCTCCTCCTCCTCCTCCTCCTCCTCCTCCTCCTCCTCCTCCTCCGCCTCCTCCTCCTCCTCTTATCTCCTCCTCCTCCTCCTCCTCCTCCTCCCCTCCTCCTCCTCCTCCTCCTCCTCCTCCCCTCCCCCTCCCTCCTCCTCCTCCTCCTCCTCCTCCTCCTCCTCCCTCCTCCTTCTCCTCCTCCTCCTACTCCTCCTCCTCCTTCCCCCTCCTCCTCCTCCTCCTCCTCCTCCTCCCTCCTCCTCCTCCTCCTCCTCCTCTTCCTCCTCCTCCCTCCCCTCCTCCTCCTCCTCTCCTCCTCCTCCTCCTCATCATCATCATCATCATCATCATCATCAGCATCATCATCATCATCATCATCATCATCCCCCTCCTCCTCCGCCTCTCCGCCTCCTCCTCCTCCTCCTCCTCCTCCTCCTCTCCTCCTCCTCCTCCTCCTCCTCCTCTCTCCTCCTCCTCCTCCTCCTCCTCCTCCTCCTCCTCCTTCCTCCCCTCCTCCTCCTCCTCCTCCTCCTCCTCCTCTCCTCCTCCTCCTCCTCCTCCTCCCTCTCCTCCTCTTCCGTTTCCTCCTTCTCATTCTCCCCCCTCCTCCTCCTCCTCCTCCTCCTCCTCCTCCCTCCTCCTCCTCCTCCTCCTCCTCCTTCTCCCTCCCCCCACCCCCTCCTCTCCTCCTCCTCCTCCTCCTCCTCCTCCTTCTCCTCCTCATCCGCCTCCTCCTCCTCCTCCTCCTCCTCCTCCTCCTCCTCCTCCTCCTCCTCCTCCTCCTCCACCGCCCGCGCAGGGCACCTACACCTTCGCGACGTTCAATGCGAGCGGAGGGCGAAAGACACTCAAGCAGATGATTCAGCGCACCACGGCGCACATTGTACTCATCCAGGAGACAGGATTCACGGAGCCCCTGATCGAGTCGCTGCACAGCTGGGCAGGCAATCGAGGTTGGAAAGTTGCTGCGATACCAGCTCGCCCGACGAGTGGCATGGTCCCGTCAGGCGGCACCGCAGTTCTGGCTCGAGCTGATCTAGGGCTGCGACACCCAGATGGCGGCCAACTGGTATACGACCATCGCCTGCAGCACGTGGTGGTCGACCTGCCAGGTTGGCCCAGCCTGTCTCTCTTGAACGTATACCTGAAGGACTCGATCGGCGCGACTGGCGAGAACACTGAAGTTCTCGCAGCTGCTGGTCGAATCATGGCGCGAACGGCTACGCCATGCATCATAGGAGGTGACTGGAACATGACGGGCCAGGACCTAGAGGACTCAGAGTTTCCACGACTGGCATCGGGGGTGATAGCGATGCCTGATCAAGTCACATTCCGAGGTGGTACTGGCTGTTCTACGATAGATTTTTCTGTCTCAACAATGCAGCTCAACGAGGGTTTCGAGGAGTGCACGTTCAAAGTAATTGGCACAAGAAAGCTCATCGGCCAGTCCAACTAAAGATAACAGACAATGGGTACGCGATCCAGCACTGCGTCTACACTGTCACGCAGAGACTACCCGCTGCATTTCCCGCTGGGCCGCGCACGAAGCCGATTAACTGGGTAGTTCTTGCAGCATTGGCAGATGAAGCAGTACGTGTGGCCCAAGACCCCATGAGTGATGCTGCTGTTGCTTGGGCCTACCTCACCAGAGTATATGGAAAGTTTGCAGTTACGGTTGCCGAATACATCGCTGCCAACACGTGCATCGAACTAAAGAACAGCGGGGCTTACGGCAAGAACCTGGAACCTCGCTGGGTCAACGCTGAATACCCCATGAACGTAGAGTCGGACATCCAGGCGATTGGCCAGGGCTGGCAGTGGCTCAGAGAAGGTTTGATCACCATCCAGCAGTTATTTTCTAAACCAGATAAGATGGCAGAATGTTCAGAAGAGATAGCTCGATTCATGGCGACACCGTACCCCTGAGCACGCCTAAGTGGACGATTGGATAGTGCGGTTACGCAAGGTCGCCAGGAGATCAATCAGATACCACTCGACCTGCAACGCATTCAAACATTCCTGGATGAGATCGACGACGACGTAGAACTGGCAAAGAAAGGTCAAGAAAAAGACGCGAATGATTCGTGGACAGAATGGTGCCGCATTGCTGCGAGTGGAGGTGCTCGGCCTCTACACCGCACTACCAGAGTTCGAGCTGTCCCCGCACCAGCTGCTGCCATTGGTATACCATCTGGGGACCCTGTGGTGATAGTGAAGCAGGAGGTGGCCCTGCACAGAAAGCTGCGGGGGCCAGCAGTGAGGCAGCGGCAGCGTGGATCCCAGACAGGAGCAGCTGCCCACGACTCGAACCAGATCACATTCGTCGGATCTCGAGGTCTTTTCCAGCTACGACTTCGGCAAGTCTAGACAACTTCCACCCGAGGCACGCGGCGATGCTGGACGACGAAGGCTTAGAGGTGCTAGCTTCCATCTGGGAAGCGGCAGAGGCCATAGGGGTCTTGCCGAAGCAGCTGTGCTGGATACAGATGCCGTTGTTGGGCAAGCCAAGTGGAGGCAACCGCCTGATCATCCTGCATGTTGGTATGTACAGGATTTGGCAGAGGGCTCGGCGCGCCATCGTTCAGAGCATGCATGACACGCTGGAGCGGGGATACTGGGGCGCATGCAAGGGACGATCGGCGATTGACTGCGCATGGGCTCAAGCAGCGCGGTCAGAATCTGATCAGATGACGCACAGATATGGCATTGTTTTCATTGCAGACTGGTCCAAGTACTACGAGACCATCCCTCTGGAAGTTCTGAAAATGAAGTTTCTTCGTCATGGTGCGCCCACGTGCTGGCTCAAACTGGTATTCAATATGTGGATGAGCCCCAGAGTTATCAGACTCGGCCGACATCACTCAGATGAAGTGCTCTGTGCTCGGCGTGGATTGCCAGCAGGTGACGCTTACGCTGACTTAGCCGTCAAAGTCAACACCGTGGACGCTTTTGACATGATGATAACGAAGTCGCCGACGATAGACTTCCAGAACTACATTGACGATTCAGGCCTTCACAATTCTTGTTCTGATTACGACATAGCGAAAGGTACGGCTGTGGAGGGTATCCAGAATTTCTTCGGGGCTAGCAGGCAGATCAACGCCACCCTGAATGATGAGAAGCTCGCGATCATCTCGACGCACCAGGCATTGGCTGCAGCCGTGTGTGACGAGCTTGAGCTCCCGAGGTCGGTGATCAAGCCCAGTGTGTCCTACCTGGGCGTGGACGAGTCTGCTGGCGCAGCTCGGCGAGGACAGCGAGTGCGACTGAAGCAGCAGTCGAGGTTTGTTGCGATGAGAGAAAGGATCCGAAAGGTGCGAGCCATGAGGAAAGGGTTCAAAGGCCCCAAGGAGATCCCTTTCAGGAAGATAAATCGCCAGGGTGTGGCTCCTGCGAGCAGCTTTGGAGTTGAGATCCAGGAGCTTTCTGATTCTGAGTGGCTAGCGCACCAGCGTCTGATGTGTAGCTCAGATGCCCCCTCGCACGGCGGAGTTTCACTTTCAGCTAGGGTAGTTTTAGACGGTGATAGTAGCACGAGATTCGCTGTGGCGCCCGCTATCCAATGGCGCAGGATGGCGCGGTCAGCTACGACTCGCCCAGAGCACGCCCTTGTAAAGATGGCTGAGCTCGTCTACCTCTGGGAACTATGTCAGGCCTCCAGCTGTAAAACTTGGCAAGAGTCCAGGGGTCTGATTTCTCGTGCTTGTTTGAGTTTGGCCCGTGCGGGCTGGAAGTACCGTGCCCCCTTAAAATGGGTGGACCACAATGGCCATGACGTTGATTTAACGCAGACCCCGCCGTCGCTTTTTAAAGATATGCTTGAGCTAGGAGTTCAAAGGCAGCGCGAGTTTCGATTGGCCCGAAAGCTTGGCTTCAACCCTGGGACGCGCGCCACGCTGGACTTAGTGGGAAAAGCTGTGTCTCCGAAAGCCAAGCGCCTGAGTAGGTATCAGAAGTATCTAATAAAGAGCTGTGGATGCCTAGGATTGTGGACCAAAGATCGCGCTGAGAGGGCGGGGTACCTGCGTGACGGGCTGTGCGAGTGTAGCGAAAGGGACACAATCCACCACAGGCTCTACTGCCGTCAGTTACCCAATGTTTTAGAGGCCCGTCAGGCCGCCGAGGTCTCTCCCGAGTTCTTGGCTGCGGCCCGAGCGGAGCCCGAAAATCTGATATTCACCACTGGCATTTTCACATATCAGGACAGTGCGCTGCCGTGCCCGTTGGTTTCGTACGAGGTTGACGTCTTGGATCAGCACGGCAACGCACTTGATTTAACCCCAGAGCAGATCGCCAATCTCACAACGAATGTGCCGCTCCGACTGGCCTCGGATGGATCAGGGAGCAAACCGTTGTTGAGACCGCTGGAAAGAGCTGCCTGGTCCATCGGAGTCCTCCCCGACATCGGGGAAGATCCAGTAGCGTTTCTGCGCGGAGTTGTGCCTGGCATGCTCCCGCAGACTCCCGCCATGGCTGAACACGTAGGCATCGCACTGTGCGGCCAAGTGGCCAGCAGGCCCGCCGAGTTAGGATCAGATTGCAAGGCCGCCATCCGAGTCACCCAGCAAGATGTGTCGAGGCAGCTAGCGGCAGGTAACAAATTTGCTGGCATCAGACTTTTTGCGCAGGGGTTGGAGGGAACGCCTTTGATTCATACAGTGCGCCACGTGAAGGCGCACAGGTCCGAAGAAGAAATGGCGCTGCTCGAAGGCGAGGAGAGACTTTTTGCCGTGGCCAACGCAGCTGTCGACAGGCAGGCTAAAGCAGCGTTGTCCCTCCACCCTGCGCCAGACGCGGATTTCCTCTCAGATGTGAACCTTGCAGCCACCCGTGCGCAGAGCTTCATGAAATTAGCCGCCGAGGTCCTCCCACTATTCCCCAATGAGGTTAGGTGGAAGAGACCGGTGCGGATCAGATCAGGCCGCTCAAAGCGGACTGTCTTTTGGCACTGCTGGAAGCATGGTGAATTAGGATTGCAGTGCAACAGATGTCTGCTGGTGGCAGAAGGATCGCCAGACGGAGTCCCAATGAGTGGCTGCAAAGGCGTTCCCAGTCACGTCAGTCGGCTGCTCTCGAATCCCCAGGGTCATTCCCTCATCGCCACTGCTGGTTTGGCTCGGGAAGCTGGCGACGGCGCCTCGGTGTGTCAGGTTCGAGAGCAAACCATAGTTTGTTTGAAGTGTGGAGGGTGGTCTCAAGCAAAGCTTGAGAAATTAGGCCGTCCCTGCGTTGCCCCCACTCGTAAAGGTTTAGAGGTGATATCCATGGTGAGGCAAGGGCGGTGCCCGAATCGTCGCGTTTTGGCCTTGCTGGACAAGGCTCTCCCTGTTTCTCGGCTGCGCCGCGACCCGCCCGAGCCCCATGACACCTCTGACACGAATGTCCGTACGAGTTTTTCGGCCACAGAGACGGCCCCCTCCTATGAGCAAAGAATGAACGCTTTGGTCGAGCGAATTCGAGTGAAGGAGAGCACCCGAGATGCTCGGTCCAGGGGATAGTTTCGGGAGTTTTCAGAGGGCTACCCTCTTTTTAATTCCCCCATCCCCGATTCGTATCCCAGCTATTTTAAGCTGAGATTATTTAGTGCGGTGCACTCCCCCTTTAGGGCATTCCATTTCATTCCATTCCTCCTCCTCCTCCGCCTCCTCCTCCTCCTCCTCCTCCTCCTCCTCCTCATCCTCCTCTTCCTTCCCCCTCCTCCTCCTTCTCCTCCTCCTCCTCCTCCTCCTCCCCCTCCTCCTCCTCCTCCGCCTCCTCCTCCTCCTCCTCCTCCTCCTCCTCCTCCTCCTCCTCCTCCTCCTCGAGCGCCCATCCGGTCCGGGAGTGCCCGGGCCGCGGGGGGGGTGAGCGCGCCGCGCTCCATTCGGCGCGGGCAGGCGCCGCGCACCGGGCCATCGGCGAGGGTGAGCGAGGCGTTCCAGAAAGGGCCTCGCCTTCGAGGATCGGAGGAGTAGCCATCTTTTCGTCGGCAGAAGGCGGCGGAAGGGTGGCGGAAGCCCGCGGAGGTAGGGCGAGAGCGCCTCCGCTGGCGGAAGCCGGCGGAAGGCAAGCGGAAGTAAAAGATGCGCCCCCAGGAGTTCAGGGTTTCCGGGGCCCGCCAAATAGGCTCGGGGGGGACGCATCCACCCCCAATCGCCCAGTGGTTGCCGACACGGGGCAGGATTGCCCACCCATGCCCAGGAGCGTGCGGTGTCACTATCGGCGGAGTTCTCGCCGATCTGTCGGCGATGTATCGCCGCCGACTCCCCCCCCCCTTAGCCGGTCCCCCCCCAACGTTCCGCCGCACTTCTGTGGGCCAGAGCTCGCATTATGTAATCGGGCCTCTCACGAGGCAAGAACCACAGCTGTGCGTGCACCGCGAATCCAGATCCCCCCTCTCGCCGCCCCCTCCCCTCTCTGCTTCCCCGCTCCTCCCTCCTCCCCCCTCTCGCGTGTACCTCCCCCCTTTTGCCCTCCTCTCCCCCCTCCTCCACCCCCTTCCTGCTCACCTCTCCTTGCCTCCCCTCCGGGTTCGGTCAGCGGAGGTAGAAATCGCAAATCCAAGAGGTGCAAAACGTTTTCGGAAGTCATCGTTTCCCGAGCCGGCCACGTGCTTCGACCCCCTGAGGTTTCTTTCGAGCCGAAACGCTCGCGGCTCGGCATCGAACGGGCACCGCCGACGACGGGACTGGAGGCGAAGCAGAGGCGGAGCCTCCTCGGAGCCCCCGCACCTTCTTGATTCTCTCTGTGGCGACTTGAAAGCCTGTTCGGGCCTCTCTGGCGCCTTCGGCGGTCGTTCTTCTCGGGTGCAAAGCAATGTCGGAACCAGGAGGAGGAGGAGGAGGAGGAGGAGGAGGAGGAGGAAGAGGAGGAGGAGGAGGAGGAGGAGGAGGAGGAGGGAGGGAGGGAGGGAGGGAGGGAGGAGGGAGGGAGGGAGGAGGAGGAGGAGGAGGGTGGGGGGTGTCAGTGGCCGTGTCTGGCCGCCTTGGAAGCCTTCGAGAACTTTGGAGAGCTCCAGGGTGGGCGTCCGGCCGCCCAGGGAGCCTCGGGACGGGAGGGGGGCATACACGCAGCGAGGTGTTACCGCGTGAAAGTCGGGGAGACGTAAGACTCGAGTAAGCCGGAACCCGGGTTCGCCGACGTTTTTTAACGAGCGCGTCCTGGATTTTGACGGTCCAGTGTTCGTGGGATGTTTCGCGGCGGGAGCTCGCGTCAAAGTTCAGATCGGGTCTCGTCATTTGTACGATGACCCCGTCAGGCCAACCCGAGTCCCCCGTAATTGCCCGAGTCTCACGTCTCCCCGAGAAGGGGGGCGAGGGGGCTAAGAAGACTTAATGGAGGATGACGATTAATAAATGACCGGGGGTCGTGTTCACGCGGTGGCGCCTGGGATGACGATCAGAAAAAGACGGCCGCGGGCTGGAAAATTATTTCTTTAATCGTTCTCCTCCAGTCAGAAAATTATGCAGATATAGCAGAAAACTATGTGTTGAATCGTTCTCTCCCCTTTTTTATTAACAGTCATCCCGCATCACGGCTACTTTACCAGGCAGCAGTGGAGCGACGCAGAGAGACGGTGTCGTTTGCACGGACACTGACGCGCAAGCTGCCCGCTTGAGGTCGCGCGTGAGCGCCCCCAGCTTCGGACGTGGCGTGCCGTGCTGGCGGCGCGCAGGCCGCGGCGCAGGGTCGCTATGCCATCGCGCGTGAAGCCCTTCTCTTTTCGGCGTTCGGTTGGCATTGTGCGGTGACGGGTAGTTGAAACCTGCCGCTTCGCCCGCAGAAGGCCTGCTCCAGCCGGGCCGTTGGGCCCGCACCCGTTCTCCCCCCCACCCCGCCCCGCTCGGCCGAGGTGAGCTGCCGCCTGATCTCCGACGGCATGGCGGCTCGGGCTTGCATGGAAACGGGGCAGGGCCGGCTGCGAGATGCTCCTGTCCTTCTGCCCTGTCTCTTTCCCCGATCCTCGAGCCTCCTCCATACCTCTCTCCTCCCTCCCTCCCCTCCCCCCTCCGTCTCGCTTGAGCGTCCCAGAGGGGGGTGAGGACTCGTGGTGGCGTGGTTAGAAAGAGCGCGTTCTGTGGTCGCCTGCAAGGGGGGGGGAGGGGTTTGGAACTGGACCCCCCCCCTCCCCAACTTCTCGCCTCTCCCTCTCCTGGGGCCGGCGCCGGCGTCGGCGGCGGTTGGCGGCGGCGGGGGTGCTGGTGGTGGTGGTAGTGGCGGTGGTGGTGGTGGTGAGGTGGTTTGTGGTTGTTGTGGTGGCGGTGGTGGTGGGTTGTGCTGCTGGTAGTAGTGGTGGTGGTTGTGGCGGTGGTGGTGGTGTGGTAGATTGTGGTGATGGTGGTGGTAGTGGTGGTGGGTTGTTGTATTGGTGGTGGTGGTGGTGGTGAGCTGTTGTGGTGGTGGTGAGCTGTGGTGGTGGTGGTGGTGGTGGCTGGGGTGGTGGTGGTGGTTGTGTGGTGGTTTGGTGGTGGTGGTGGTGGGTTGAGGTGGTGATGGTGGTGGTCGTGGTGGTGGCGGTGGTGGTGGTGGTGGCATGGTGGTTTGTGGTCGTGGTGGTGGTGGGCTGTGGTGTTGGTGGTGGTGGTGGTGCCGCTGCTGGTAGTGGTGCTGGTGGTGGTGTTGGGTGGTGTGTGGTGGATGGTTGTGGTGGTGGTGGTGGTGGTGGTTGTGGTGGTGGTGTTGTGGTTTGTGGTGGTGGTGTTGGTGGTGGGTTGTGGTGATGGTGATGGTTGTGGCGGTGGTGGTGATGGTGGTGGTAATGGTGTGGTGGTTTGTGGTGGTGGTGGTGGTTGTGGTGGGTTGTGGTGGGTTGTGGTGGTGCTGTTGGTGGTGGCGTTTTTGGTGCTGGTGGTGGTGGTGAGGTGGTTTGTGGTGATGGTGGTGGTTGTGGTGATGGTGGGTTGTGGTGATTGTGGTGGTGGTTGTGGTGGTGGCGGTGGTGGTGGTGGTATGGTGGTCTGTGGTGGCGGTGGTGGTGGTAGTGGTGGTGGTGTGGCCTTCGGCTCTTCCCGCCACTGTGTTTTGGCAAAGGGTCAGAGTTCTAATGGGAGCCTCTCGAGGTCTCGTCAGAAGGGTTTCGGGGGCGTCTGAGGAGCATGCGAGGGCTCGATATGTCGATTTGTGTGTTCCCTCTGCGGCCTGTGGGCCCTCTCTGGTCATCGTCGCTGCGTCCCCGCCGTCGGCTCTGCTGGTGGCCGCCGCTAGCGCCGGCTCCGGCGCCGGCGAGGTGGGGGGGGGGTTGAACCCCCCCGCCCCCTCCGAACCCCCCCGCCCCCCCTCCTGGGCTCTCTCTGGTCATCGTCGCTGCGTTGGCGCTATGGCGGCCGCCAGCGCTGCGCCGGTGGGGGGTGGTGGTTGTGAACCCCAAGGGGGGGGGTTCGGGAGGGAGGGGGTGTTGGGGGGGAGGGGAGTCCCCCTGGTTACGATCGACGGCGCCGAGTGTTGGTGTTCGGGGGAGGGGGGGGGGGGGGCGACTCCCCAGTTCGAAACGCGCCGCCGAATGTTTCCAAGGCAAGCGCCCGTGAAACGCGCTCTTTCCGTGGTTATCATAGCCGGAGCTTCCATCGATGGCCTCCAGAGGCTAGAAGTTGGAGACAATTTCCGTTTTGGATTTCTCGAAGTTTTGGGGGTTTGGGCCTCTGTCTTTCGTCCCTTCCCATGATCCTCTGTCCTTGCTCCCTCCCTCCCATCCTCCCCCATGATCCCTTCCCCCCCCCCTCCCCTCCCCTCCCTCCCTCCCCCTCCCCTCCACAATTACTCAATATGAATAACCGCATGCCGAGGATAATAATGTATCCCCCCCCCCCCTTCAGTGTTTAGAGTTGATTATCGTCGACCAATAAGAGTTTGGTCGGGGGCGCGGGGGCGCGGAGGCCGAACTTCATTATCACGGGAAAAGTTCGCCATCGAAGTTACTTCCTTCTTATGTTGAGATAACAACATCAAGCGAAGCGAACACGTTGTTTCAGGATGTCTCAAGCGAAACCAATGTCTTTATGTCTCTTTGTAGTTCTTTCTGTCTCTCTTTCTTTCTTTCTTTCTTTCTTTCTTTCTCTGTCTCTCTTTCTCTCTCTCTCTCTCTCTCTCTCTCTCTCTCTTTCTGTCTCTCTATCTCTTTCTCCTTCCTGGCCTCTCTGTCTCTCTCTCTCTCTCTGTCTCTCTATCTCTTTCTCCTCCTCCTCCCCCTGGCGCCCTGAACTTGTTTATCGCTGGGGTTGATTCTCCAGGGAAAACGAGGCACGTGAGCTACCCTACACGAGCACTTAAAAAATTTAATTTTCATAAAGCGCATGTATATAAAATTTAATACATTTGAATCTTCAGATTTTTTGTCTTATCCTCAGTTCCTCTTCTCTTTATCCTTTTCATTTATTATTATACTTTTCTTTTTAAATATATCTTCTCTCTTTAAGTCCTTCCTTTCTTTTTCTTTATGATGTATCTCTCTTTCTCTCTCTCTCTCTCTCTTTCTCTCTCTCTCTCTCTCTCTCTCTCCATGCCCCCCCTCTGAACTTTTTTTATCCCTGGGGTTGATTATCCATGGAAAATGAAGCACATGAGCTACCCTACACGAGCACTTAAAAGTTTTAATTTTCATAAAGCGCTTGTAAATAAAATCTAATACATTTTAACTTGAGAGTTTTCCTTCTCTTTTTCCTCCTCCTCTGTTTCCTTGTCTGTTTTATGTGTTTCCTTTTTCTTTTTCATTTCTTATTGTTTCTTTTTATTGTTGTTATTGTATATCGCTTTCTCCATTTCTCCGCCTTTCTTAAGCGAAATAAGCAATAGTTCGACGGTGTCTCAAGCGAAATAAGCAATAGTTTGTGGATGTCTCAAGCGAAACAAGGGATTTGTCGAGGATGTCTCCAGCGAGATAAGCCATTGTTGAGGATATTTCTATGAAGACTAAACGCCAAGGATGTCTCAAAACGTGCTCGGCTTGGTCTCCTCTTGATCATCTCTTACTTCGAGATTATGCTGAGGTCTGTTGGGCTACTTTGATTATCTCCCCCTGAACCCCGAACTTTATTATCCCCTAGTGTTTATTCTCACGGGTTAGCGGTTACTACACTCCTCCTTCCCCTGATGACGGTTTGGGAGTGTTCGCCCCCCCCCCCCCCACCGGCATTGTACCTAACAAGTCGTAGACTGAATAGGTTTCTAGTTGACTCAAAAGAGCTCACAGATCACTCCCACAGGGGGGTCCCGGCAGGCGTTGGGAGTTGCCGGCCGCATGGTTCCCGGGCCTGTGCGCCGGCGTCGTTTTTTTCACCAAAACACACACTCGTGCTCGTCGACCTCTCATAACCCCCATTTCCAGGCTACATTCGGAATATCGGATGCAACAGACACACACTTCGTGCTCTTGGACTTCCCAGAAACTCCATTCCCCTCCCGCCACATTCTGAATGCCTGGAGCCACCTGTAGGCCACTTCGTGCTCTTCGAGTTCCCAGAACTCCATTCCCGGCCCACATTTCGAATGCCCGGAGCCAACTGTAGGCCATTTCGTGGTCTTCGAGTTCCCAGAACTCCATTCCTGGGCATGATTTTGAATGCCCGGAGCCAACTGTAGGCCACTTCGTGTTCTTCGTGTTCCCAGAACACCATTCCCGGGCCTCATTTTGAATGCCCGGAGCCAACTGTAGGCCACTTCGTGTTCTTCGTGTTCCCAGAACACCATTCCTGGCCACATTTTGGACGCTCGTACCATCTGAGGCTGAGGCAGGCTGAGGCTGAGGCAGACTGGGCTGAGGCTGGAGCAGCTGAGGGTGAGGCATGCTGAGGCGAGCTGAGTTGATGCTGAGGCGGAGGTGAAGCAGGCAGGGCTCACGCTGAGCATGCGATGCCGAGGCAGCTGAGCTGAGGCTGACTGATGCCTGGCTGAGCTGAGGCTGAGGAAAAGGTTTAGCTGAGGCTAAGGTTGAAGGCATATTGAGGCTGAGGCTGAAGCAGGCTGAGGCTGAGGCAGGCTGAGGCTGAGGCTGAGGCAGGCTGAGGCTGAGGCAGGCTGAGGCTGAGGCCGAGGCTGAAGGCAGACTGAGGCTGAGGCTGAAGCAGGCTGAGGCTGAGGCTGAGGCAGGCTGAGGCTGAGGCAGGCTGAGGCTGAAGGCTGAGGCTGAGGCAGCTGAGGTGACGCTTGAGGCAGGTGGGCTGAGGCTGAGGCAGCTGTGTCTGAGGCTAAGCTGAGGCAGGCGCTGGGCTTGAGGCTGAGGAAGGCTGAGGCGGAGGCAGGCTGAGGCTGAGGCCGAGGCTGAAGGCAGACTGAGGCTGAGGCTGAAGCAGACTGAGGCTGAGGCAGGCTGAGGCTGAGGCTGAAGCAGGCTGATGCTGAGGCAGGCTGCGGCTGAGGCTGAGGCTGATGCAGGCTGAGGCTGAGGCAGGCTGAGGCTGAGGCCGAGGCTGAAGGCAGACTGAGGCTGAGGCTGAAGCAGGCTGAGGCTGAGGCTGAGGCTGAGGCTGATGCAGGCTGATGCTCAAGCAGGCTGAGGCTGAGGCTCAGGCTGATGCAGGCTGAGGCTGAGGCATGCTGAGGCTGAGGCCGAGGCTGAAGGCAGACTGAGGCTGAGGCTGAAGCAGGCTGAGGCTGAGGCTGAGGCAGGCTGAGGCTGAGTCTGAGGCAGGCTGATGCTGAGGCAGGCTGAGGCTGAGGCTGAGGCTGATGGCAGGCTGAGGCTGAGGCAGGCTGAGGCTGAGGCCGAGGCTGAAGGCAGACTGAGGCTGAGGCTGAAGCAGGCTGAGGCTGAGGCTGAGGCAGGCTGAGGCTGAGGCTGAGGCAGGCTGATACTGAGGCAGGCTGAGGCTGAGGCTGTGACTGTGACTGCCGTTGCCACTGCGACTGTCATCGCGAATGCGACTGCGACTGCGAGAACAGGAGAATTCTACAACTGGATTCTCATCTGGATCTTAAGGGGAATGTTTCCATATATGCTTCTACACATCGCTGTTAGGTTGCTTTGCCGGGATAATTTGTTTACTGGAGTTGGGTTTTCGCCTGCATTTGTTTTCAAAATGCTGCTCTCGCTGAGGCGCCGGCCTCATTTTCGGGCCCCGCTCGTTCCGAATCGTGCTCCCGCTGCAGCGCTGGCCTCATTTCCGTGCTTCCGCTCGTTCCGAATCGTGCTCCCGCTGCAGCGCTGGCCTCATTTCCGCGCTTCCGCTCGTTCCGAATCGTGCTCCCGCTGCAGCGCTGGCATCATTTCCCGTGCCATGCCACGGCATGCAATTTAATGTTAAGTTGCGTTCCGCTGCGCGATGCCATGCCTTCAGCTGAAGCTGTGATATGCAGTGCTTAAGTGCCACGTCGTGCTATGCCATGCTACGCTTTGATCTTCAACGCCATGCTATGCAATGTTATGTTCGGGGCCGCTGTGCGATGCCATGCTTTGCGTTGCAAAGCTTTGTGATGCAATTCTTCACTACGCCACGCCACGCCATGCTGTGACATACTACGCTTTGCGGTGCTCTTCTACGCCATGCCACGCCGTGCTCTACAATGCATCGCGTACCCTTTCGGGATCATTGCCCTGCTCGACATCCGACTGTGCGAGTAGAGAGGGGATCTACGCCATGGTAAGGGATGGGAGGGAGGGGTAGGATGTCAGCGAGCGCACCTAGCTTGTCCCCCTCCCCTCCCCTCCCTCCCCCTCCCCCCCCTCCCTCCCCTCCCCCCCTCCTCTGTCCTTGCCCCATCCCCTCCCCTCCTCCCCCCCCTCCCCCGCCCCATGGACCTTCCCTCCCTTCACCTCTTGGCCGCTGTCTGCCACAAGATCACCCCCCCCTCGCCCCCCGAGAGGGCCAGCCCCCCGGAGGCCAGCGCCCCCTCGCCACCTGCGGCCCCGGGCCCGGGCGCGCCGCAGCCGTGGGGCGGCAGGACGGGCGGCGGAGGGGACGCGGGGCCGGCGGGGGGAGGGGGGCCGGCGGCGGAGGGAGGGAGGGAGGAGGCAGGGAGGGAGGGAGGGAGGGAGGGAGGGCGGAAGGAGGGAGGGAGGAGGGAGGAGGGAGGAGGGAGGGGAGGGGGGAGGGAGGGGGCCGGCGGCGGATGGGAGGCTAGGGAGGGAGGAGGAGGGCGGGAGGGAGGGAGGCAGGGAGGGAGGGGTGGGGAGGGAGGGAGGCAGGGAGGGAGGGATGGGAGGGGCGGAGGGAGGGAGGGAGGGAGGGAGGAGGGGAGGGCGAGGGAGGGAGGGAGGGAGGGAGGGGGCCGGCGGCGGAGGGAGGAGGGAGGGAGGGAGGGAGGGAGGAGGGCGGAGGAGGAGGGGGGGGAGGGAGGGGAGAGGGGGGGGGAGTTCAGCGATCGCAAGCGATCGCAAGCATGGATTGAGGGGGCGTGGATGAGCGACGGGTCCCGCTGTCATTCGAGATCGTGGATCTCCGCCGCCGAACGTGGCGGCACCGGCCGCATTTTGGGGAGGGCACCTCCCCCGATCCATGGATTTGGCGACCGCGTGCCAAATCCATGGATCGCTAATCCATGGTTGCGCGCCCCCGAGAAGAGGAGCCGGCAGAGTCCGTAGCCGTTTTGGTTCAAGTACGAAGCCGTCGCCCTGCGGCTTCGTATTTGCTTGCGTCCGGGGGTTTGTTTCGAGGCGAGCCGCCCGACAGCAGGCCACGTTTCTCTCCCTCGCACCTGCCCGCAGGTGGCTGCCCAGCCAGGGCCAGCGGTCTTGCTCACACTTCACAGTCCGCATTCGTGGGCATTCGAGCCTCTTCGATGTGCGGCGAGGACGGCTTTGTGCGCCGCGCGAGCTGTGGTTGTGGCAAGAATTTCTCGTGGTGGAAGTGGTGCAAGCATTGCCGCGCCGCCCTGCCGAACACACCCAAGAAGCCGCTTCGGCGTTCAGGCAGTGCTGATGTTGATCAGGTTCGCTCTCCTGCACCAAATTATGGCTCGAGCTGTCGACCGTTGTGGAAGGCAGGTATGGCCAGCCGCTCGCCTGGCAGCCGCCAGCGGGCTCCCAGCGTGACCTTCGCGGACGGCACGGCCCAAGAGACGAGGTCTACGCCGGTGCGGAGCCCACGGAAGAGCAGCGCCTGTAGGCCCTCGCGCAGCCCTTGGGGCAGCAGTCTGGCGACACCGAGGGAGCAACCAAGTACCAGCAGCAGCTCGACGAGCTGCGCCGCGCCCGGCAGGAGGCCAACATCTCTGTCGGCCAGGCCACCCAGTGGGTCATGCAGGCGGAGGTTGCATTCAAGCGATTACTGGACATTCGAACGCATTGAGAAGCAATCTGCGAGATCCAGACGGAGGTGGCCACAACATCCTCGGAGGTTGACCTGGCGCGCACCTTGTACCAGATAGCAGTCAAGCGCCTGGCCACGTCGGTGGCGGTCGAGGAGGGCTAGCAGCGTTCCTCAGCTGCGAAGTCCACCATTGACCTGGGGTCGCTGCTCTAGGGCCAGCACCTCCTCCTCGACGACGGCGGGCTTTTCGGGCTCGACGAGTTGGACGATGTGTTCACCCCCGCGGGTAAAGCCGAAGCTCAGAGGCGCAAAGACGAATTAATGAAAGAGTTCACCGAAGCTGCCAAGGCCTGCCTTAGGGATATCAGGACCAAGGCTGCTGCTATCAAGGAGGAGCAGGCCAAGCACAAGGAGCTGCTCGATGCTTAGCGCAGTCGCACGGATGGCGCGTCCAAAGACGAGGGCAAGCCCGAGGAGGACGGCGCGCCGCCTTGGGGGCAGGGGCAGAAGGCGGGGAGAACTATTCAAAAGTAGTCAAATCTTAGCCTGGCGAAGGACCCAACCATATTCAGCTGTAGGTATCGCGATCGCGTGTGTAATCTTCGATGGGGTTTCTTATATTAGGGGAGGGGGGGGGGGGGGGGCGCGACATGTGTGAGGGTGTCTCCCTCGCAGTACGCCACGCAGGGCTCCGCAGCTCCGCAGGTCGCTCCACCCAGGTGGAGCTCCCTGTGGGGCCTTGGGTGGTGGAACTCTTTGTGGAGTCACGAAACGCTGCTGGGCGGGGGAGACGCATGCGAACACCGCCACTGGGGCCTTCAGTGGAGCTCCGTGTGGGGCCACGTAACGTTGTGATAGGTGGGGGAGACTCATGCGAACACCGCCGCAGGGGCCTCAAGTGGGGTTCCCTGTGTGGCGACGAAACGTTGTTCGGGGCGGGGGAGACGCATGCGAATACCGCCATCTAGGCCTTAGGTGGAGCTCCCTGCGGGGCCACGAAAAGTTGTCCTGGGTGGGCTGTCCTGGGTGGGGAAGACGCATGTGAACACCGCCGTTCGGGCCTGAGGTGGAACTCCCTGTGGGGCTGCGAAACGCTGTCCTGGGTGGGGGAAACGCATGCGAACACCGCCACTGGGGCCGTAGGTGGAGCTCACTGTGGGGCCACGAAACGCTGTCCTGGGTGGAGGAGACGCATGCGAACACTGCCATTGGGACCTGAAGTGGATCTCCCTGTGGGGCCACGAAACGCTGTTCTGGATGAGGGAGACGCATGCGAACACCGCCACTGGGACCTTAGGTGGAGCTCCCTGTGGGGCCACGCAACGTTGTCCTGGGTGGAGGGGACGCATGCGAGCATTGCCACTGGGACCTGAAGTGGAGCTCCCTGTGGACCACGAAACGCTGTCCTGGGTGGGAGACGCATGCGAACACCGCCACTGAGGCCTTCGATGGGGCTCCCTGTGGGGCCGCGAAACGTGTAAGGGATGTGGCGAAATTGGTGACAATGATAGTGACGATAACGTTGGTGATCATGACGTCGATGATGATATTGATGATGACGATGACATGGCGATGCCGATGATGGTGATGTTGATGTTGATGATGCTGATGATGATGATGATGATGCTGATGCTGATGCCGATGCTGCTGATGATGATGATGATGATGATGGTGGTGGTGGTGGTGGTGATGATGATGATGACGACGACGAGGACATGCGCAGGGCAGAGGCAGGTATGGGAGGAGGGAGGAGGGGGAGGAGCAAGGAAGGAAGGGAGGAAGGAAGGAACGAAGTAAGGAAGGAAGGAAGGAACGCGGGGGCCGTCTCTTCAAAACGAGGGCCCAACACCACAGGATGGTTGCGAAATCATCTGGAGACGATTTTTCTGCTATGTGTAAGCATGTTTGGAGTATGTTGGAGGTATGTTTAATTTTTCGCCCGAAATCCGCCTGCAGGGGGACATGCCCGACCTAAGCCTTGTAGAGACTGATGAGGAGGGGACTCACGACCGGAGGGTGTGTTGCAGCACCGTTGTAGCATTCTTGGCTTACTCTGGTCCTCCTCGTCCTCCTCCTCCTCCTCCTCCTCCTCCTCCTCCTCCTCCTCCTCCTCTCTCCCTCCTCTCCTCCTCCTCCTCCTCCTACCTCTCCTCCTCCTCCTCCTCCTCCTCCTCCTCCTCCTCCTCCTCCTCATCATCATCATCATCATCATCATCATCATCATCATCATCATCATCATCATCATAATCATCCCCGTCCCTCTCTTGCTCCCCCTCCACCCCCCCTCTTCCTCCTTTTCCTCGGCTGGCTGGGAGCGATGTTCGGTCCACCCCCGACGACACCACCTACGCCACCAGGGGCGACGGCGACGACGTCGGCCACGACGACGACGACGACGACGACGACGACGACGACGACGACGACGAGGGCGACGAGGACAGCGACAACAGTGACGACGGCGGCGATGGCGGCGGCAGCAGCAGCGGCGGCGGTGAACCCCCCACCGCAGCGTGCGCTTGGCGCCTGGCCCGCCGGCGGCCAAGCAGGTCCGCCTTGTCGGCGTGACGACGCCGGCGCCCGCCGCGACGGCGCGGGTGGCCGTGGCGTGCACGGCTTGCAAGGCGTGCCCAGCGGGAGGGGGTGTGGTGGAGGAGACGAAGGGAGGGGGATCGAAAGCTGGGCGAGGGCTGCTAAAACCGTGGCTGCTGAAACGGCCCTCCCGGAAGGAAAGGACAAGTTCCCGGAAGGAGGCGCGGCACGCGAAACAGTCAACGGGCTTCTTCCCGGAAGGACGAAGACAAAAAATGGCATAAACATAAAATGACATAAACATGAAAATTCGGAGATCCGCGCGGATTTCTCGGATCGGCGCTGGACCCCCCTCCCTGGCGCGCGGAACGCGCCAGGGGCGGCGCCGGAGGCGCCGCCGGGGGGCCCCAGCGCCGATCCGAGAAATCCGCGCGGACCTCCGAGTTTTTATATTTATGTCACTTTTTGTTCCCCTATGTAGTGGAGGAGACGAAGGGAGGGGGAGGAGATGCATGGAGGGCCCCGTGGCCCACAAGGGCCAGTGAGGAATGGTTGTGGGGATTTGTTGGATCGCCCACGCACTTTTGTTTTTGCTCACAGGTCGTTCGTTGAACGGGTTGCGAGATGCGAGCTAGCGCCGAGGAAGCAGGTGGATGGAGGGGAAGGAGGAGGCTCGGAGGAGCAGGAGGAAGAGGGGAGGAGGAGGGAGGGGGATCGAGGTGGAGCCAGGAAGCTCGGCGAAGGAGTTCGGCGTCTAGACGCTCCAGCATCCCACATGCTGAGCAGCTGAGGCGTATATACACCGAGCTCTTTGGCCGACCAGACGACTTGGTGTAAACTTCGAGCCCCTCCCAGATGGAGGGGGAGAGCAGGCGTGCGGCGAGCAGAGCAGGCCTTCTCTCATTCGTCAGGCGATCGCAAACATGGATCAGGGGGGCGTGGATCAGCGACGGGTCCCGCTTCCATGGAATCGCGGATGTCCGACGCCGAACGAGGCGGCACCAGCCGCATTTTGGGGAGGGCGCCAGATTTGGCGAGCGCACGCCAAATCCATGGATCGCTGATCCATGTCTGCGCGCCCCCGAAGTCGAACAGGAGGACCAGAGGTCGGCGACGGTCAGTGGAGCCAGGTGCCGCGGAGCGCGAGGAATCGACCGCGGAGACGGCCTCGGGTCCCAGCGTCGTCTTCGGGGATGTCCTCCGTGAGGGGTTGACGACCCCTCACCAGCTGGCCTGCGGGCGTCAAACCGGAGAGGTCTGAGCAAACTTGCGCAAGTCGACAGAGGTCCAGATCGATCGAGGCAAAGCCGGAGTCATCCTGGAACAGCTCGTGAAAGCTCCAGCGCGAGCCGAGGGGCGGCAGAAGTCGCTGAGCCCTTCACGAAGCTTCGAGCGTCCAGAACCGCCCGATCAGCGCGCTAGTGGCGAGGCGACGGGGCGGCCTTCTAAGAGTGCCAGGGGCCTCTTCTGGGGAGCCTTCTCAGGCCTCCGAGCCCTCCTCGGGGACCCCCCCCTGGCCCTCTCAGAAGGCCGCGCCGCCAACATCAGCGGCCGGCGCCGGCGCTGGGCGGGCTCCCAGGACGGGGCCCGCCCGCGTACGCACCCGCATCCGCCCCGGCCGAAGCTTCCGGCCGATCATCATATTGGAGATGCTGTACGTTTCGGGGGAACGCGTCGATTTCGTCCAGATCTGGGGCCCTGGAGGGCCCCAAGCCCTGGTGGTTTCTCGCTCTCGCCCCTGCGAGCAGCGCCGACGAAGAGAATTGATGTCCGCGCTCACGCACCCGCATTAAGTTGGGCGTGTCCCTCTACAGGAGGAAGCGTCAAAAATAGTCAAACAATTGTCTGAGGACGATGTTTCGACTATTTTTGGCTGTTGTTGAGTATTTGTGGCTATTTTTCATGTTGGGGACGTGCCCGACCTAACACATGCACCAGAGCCGCACACCTGTGGACACGCCACAGCCGCAGACACTCTCAGCCAGAGGGCGCAGCCGCGGGCACCGATGCGACCGTGATCGCACCCCCGGCGCGCGGGAGCGGGCCCACCCGCAGCCGCGCGCGCCGCGGGGCCCCCGCCGGGCCGCCATGGCGCGGGCCGCGGCGGCGGCCGAGGGAGGCCGCCAGCGCGGCGGGCTGCGGCCGCCGCGCCGCTGGCTGGCGGCCGCGGTGGCGGCGGGGTGCTGGCGCCCGGGCGGCTGCAAGCCGATGGCGCTGCAGGCGCACGTCAAGAGGCCGCCTCGGAAGGGGCGGGGGGGGGGGGGGCTCTTCCCGAGAGCGGGGCTTGTCCGTGGCCACCGCCCGGGGGAGTCGACCTTCGGTGGGTCCTCGGGCGGGGTCCGAGGCAGGGGCTTCGTCCTCGACCACCGCCTGCGGACCTTCGGGGGCCTCGGCAGGCAGCGGACAGGGATGTGCTCGGGCCTGGGCGGGGGCCGGCCGTAGCCGTGTCCGCCGCCCGCCGAGGTCCCCGATGGTCGAGACGTCCCCGCCCCGCAGGGGCAGGGGGGGGCCCTTGGCGAGGGGCGTACCGTCTTCCTCCGAGGCTGGGGAGGGTCTCCTCTGAGCGTCCTGGCCGCGCGGGGCACGAGGCGTGCGCCTGGCATCGCTCGGACGTGTGCGTATTTTCCTCGGCGAGCGGCAGCGGCAGCCAGCGGCTGCGGCTGGCTCGGGGGGGTCGACGGTCGAGGGCTGGCAGGCCGCCTCCGGTCGAGGTCGAGGCCGAGGGCCCTCCAGCGGGGTGCATGCCCGGCGCACCACACGGGGTCGGGGCACGGGTCGAGGGCGGAGCACGAGGCGCAGGAGGGCGCGCTGCCTTCTCTGGAGCGTCTCGGGGCCCCCTCGGGTCGTCTCGGGAGGCGTGACGAGGTCGGGGCACAGGTCGAGGGCTGCCTTCTCTGGACCGTCTCGGGGCCACCTCGGGCCGCCTGGGGGGCGTCACGGGGTCGGGGCACGGGTCGAGGGCGGAGCACGAGGCGCGGGAGGGCGCGTTGCCTGCTCTGGAACGTCTCGGGGCCACCTCGGGCCGCCTGGGGGGGGGCGTCTCTGGGCCTCCGGAGGCCTGCCTCGGGCCCCGGGGGCCAAGAGAGGACAGCCCTCGGGAGAGGAAAAAGGCACAGGCAGAAGTCACCGACGAATCCCCAGAAAATAAAGGAAAACATGGGAAATGGGGGGAAGACGAGCACCCAGAAAATACGGAAAGATATGGGTAGTCCTGTTATTTGTGTGTGTATCTATTTGTGTGTCGCAGGGCCCCTTCAGACCTTCGGCGCAAAGGACGGGGGTCGAGAGTTCTGGGCCCCTGGGCATTGAAGTCAGCACGTCCGAGAGGGAGGCGTATGTGGTCTCGGCCCTGCTCGATGCCACGCAGGCGGCAAGCAGAGGGCCCCACCATTGAGTCGTGTTTGGCCCTCTCGGGTGCGCGACGGGGCGCCAACGCCAAAGTGATCGGGGAAGGGCATACGAAGAGTCGAGCATGCTAAGATCTCAGAGCCGCCCCGAAGAGCGTCTCGGTGGCCTCCTGCGCCGTCGTGATGCTCCTGGGTTTGTGGGAGCCCTGCGGGCCGTCCTGGGGCCACCATGGCTCTCTCGCTTTTGCCGCATCGGCGTCGTCTGGGGGCCAAAAAGGGGCGCTGGACGCTGGAGAACAACCTGAACGCAGGGGCGGTTCTGAGAGCTCGCGCTGCGAGGGGAGGGGGGGTCGGCCCTGGACGCGCTCAAGAAGCCTTACCAGACAGCGGGGTAGCATCCGAACTCGCCTCCACGCACCGCTGGCATGGTGGCGGATCTGGCGGGCGGCGAGGACGGGGGGCACGTGGGTCCGCTCCGCTTCTCGTTCTCCGGCGCCCTTCGGCCTGACGCCTTCTTGCGCCGTCGCGGCCGTGACCGTCGTGCCCCTCACCCCTCCCCCATCCCTCCCCTTGCGCCGCGTCGTCCTTGTCCGCTTCTCTATCCTCCCCGCTTGCCATTGAGCTATCCCTCCCCCCACCTCGTGGCTGCGTCCCCCCTCCTTCTCCTGCTCCCCCCATCACCTCCCCTTCTTTTCTCATCGCTCACTGCCCTCCTTCGCGCCCACCCACCCTCCGTTGGACAAAGACTGGCGCGAGAGGTCCTGGAAAGTGTCCCCCATGTCTCCGCGGCCCAGTTGTTACTATGTTATCCGATCTTTCCCTCCTCCTACCTCCCATCTCTCGCTTCGCCCACGCCTCTTTACTCCAGCCCCGAACGCCAGACACTGTCTGGCAGGAGAGGGCGTGGGAAGGTCCCCGACGCATGCCCTTGCGAGCCACCTTTCCTTGCCCTTCCCATCCTCACAAGTGGCTCTTTTTCTCCCGCCCTTCCCCCTCCCCCCCCCTTTCTCTCGAGGCCGGGGGATTGTGGAGTCGCTGCTGGTTTTAAACGAAAATTTACGATATTTCATTTTGTTCCTCATCACTATGCTGATGTTTCCTTTCTCGTTTTCTCTCTCTCTCTCTCTCAATCTCTCGCACTCCCATCCCCATTCCATTCCCATTCCCAATACCATTACCATTCCCATCCCAATTCCCATTCCCATTCACATTACCGTTACCATTACCATTACCTTTACCTTTATCTTTATTTCTACATGTACCATTACCACTACCATTACCATTGCCATTACAATTGCCAGTGCCATTACCATTGCCATTACAATTGCCATTATCATTGCCATTGCCAGTGCCGTTGCCATTGCCATGGTATTGCCATTGCCAGTCGCCACCCCGTTACCATTACCGTTACCATTACCATTCCCATTACCATTACCATTCGCCACCACCATTACCATTGCCATTACCATAAGCATTACCAACACAATTGCCATTACCATTACCATTACCGCTGCCATCACCATTACAATTCCCATTCCCATCATCATTGCCATTACCATTACCGTTACCAGTACCATTTCCATTACCATTGCCATTATTTTTCCCACTACCACTACCATTTCCATTCCCGTTCCCGTTTCAATTACGTCTACGATTCCCATTACCATTACCATTACCATTACCATGACCATGACCATGACCATGACCATGACCATTAGCATTGCCATGGCCATTGCTATTGCCATTGCCGTTGCCGTTGCCATTCCCATTACCATTGCCAATCGCTACCCCGTTACCATTGCCATAACCATTACCATTACCGTTATCGTCACCATTACCATTCCCAGTACCATTATCATTACCACTGTCATTGCCATTACCATTACCATTGCCATTGCCATTGCCATTCGCCACTACCATTACCATTGCCATTCGCCACTACCATTACCATTACCATTGCCATTGCCATTGCCCTTCGCCACTACCATTACCGTTGCCAGTACCATTACCATTCCGATTAACATTCCCATTCCCAATACCATTACCATTACCATTACCATTACAATTGCCATTGCCATTACCATTACCTTTACCTCTACCTTTACACTTACCCTTACCCTTACCATTCCCATTTCCGTTACCACTACCATTGCCATTTCCATGCCCGTTCCCATTCCCATTCACATTCCCATTCCCGTTCCCATTCCCATTCACATTATCATTGCCATTACCATTGCCATTGCCATTGCCATGGCCATTACCATTGCCATTGCCATTCCCATTGCCATTGCCATTGCCATTACCGTTGCCGTTGTCATTGTCATTGCCATTGCCAGTCGCCACCCCGTTACCACTATCATTACCGTTACCATTACCAGTACCATTACCATTACTTCTGTCATTACCATTACCATTCGCATTGCCATTGCCATTGCCATTAGCCACTACCATTACCATTGCCAGTACCATTTCCATTGCCATTCCCATTCTCATGACCATTACCATTACCATTATCATTAGCATTTCCATTACCTTTACCTCTACCTTTACCGTTACCCTTACCCTTATCATTCCCATTTCCGTTACCACTACCACTACCATTTCCATTCCCGTTCCCGTTCCTATTCCCATCCACATTCCCATTCCCGTTACCATTCCCATTACCATTGCCATTATCATTACATTTACCATTGCCGTTGCCATTGCCATGGCCATTATCATTGTCATTGCCATTGCCAATATCATTGCCATTGTCATTACCATTACCGTTGCCATTGTCATTGCCATTGCCAATCGCTACCCCCTTACCATTACCGTTACCATTACCAGTACCATTACCATTACCTCTGTCATTACCATTACCATCACCATTGCCATTGCCATTGCCATTCGTCACTACCATTACCATTGCCAGTACCATTTCCACTCCCATTCCCATTACCATGATACTACCGCTGCCATTACCATTAGAATTCCCATTATCATTCCAATTCCCAATACTATTACAACTTCCATTACCATTACCATTACCATTAACAGTGCCATTACCACTACCATTACCACTATCATTTCCATTCCCGTTCCCGTTCCCATTCCCACTTCCATTCCCATTACCATTACCATTACCATTACCTTTACCTTTACCTTTAGCTCTACCTTTACCTCTACCCTTACCATTACCATTACCATGGCCATTACCATGACCATTGCCATTGCGATTGTCATTGCCATTGCCATTACCATTACCATTACCATTACCGTTGCCATTGCCATTGTCATTGCCTCGCTACCCCGTTACCACTATCATTACCGTAACCATTACCATTACCAGTACCATTACCATTACCAATCGCATTGCCGTTGCCATTGCCATTGCCATTCGAGGATTTCAGTAGGAATCATTCAGTGGAGGGTTTCAGTAGGAATCCACATGTGGAGGATTTCGGTAGGAATCATTCAGTGGAGGGTTTCGACAGGAACCCTTCTGTCGAGGATTTTACTGTGAATCCTTCTTATGGGGGCGTCCAATAGGAATCCTTCTAGGGGGGAGGGCAGATGTGGTCACGTTGCGTTCCTTTTTTTTTTCCTCCTGGCGCCCCCCCCCCCCCCCCAGAAAAAAAAAAACAAAAAAAAAAAACTTTGTTTTTCCTGGGGGGGGGGCGCCTGGAGAAAAAAAAAGCAGAGAGGTAGCAGAGGGGAGGGAGAGGAGGAGGGAGGAGGAGGGGAGGAGGAGGGAGGAGGAGGAGGAGGAGAGGGGGCGGAGGAGGAGGACGACACAGAGCAGAGTTTGCACAGAAACAGTCGCGAACTTAGCGCGAAACCCTCGCGCGCGCGCGCTTTTGAACCCCTGCGACTCCACAATCCCCCGTTCTCTTTCTCTCCCCCCTCCCCCCTCCCCTCCCCCTCCCGCTCTTCCCCCTCCCCCCCCGACAAAAAAGATAAAGGAAAACAGACACTGTCTATCGGGAGAATGCCTGAAAGTGTTCCCCCGCCGCGCTCCTGTGTGCCACCTTTCAGCAAAGACGGCTGAGGACATACTACCAAGTTGGAAACCAGCCATTCTTGTGGCAGGGAGGGTGAGGGGGAGGAGGAGGCGGTGGTGGAGGAGGAGGAGGAGGGGGGAAGATGAAGATGAAGATGAAGATGATGATGATGATGATGATGATGATGATGATGATGATGATGATGATGATGATGATGATGATGATGATGATGATGATGATGATGATGATGATGATGATGATGATGATGATGCGATGATGATGATGATGATGATGATGATGATGATGATGATGATGATGACGATGACGATTGATGACGATGACGATGACGATGACGATGACGACGATGCTGATGATGATGATGATGGTGGTGGTGGTGGTGATGAATGATGATGATGATGATGATGTTGATGATGATGATGATGATGATGGATGATGATGAATGATGATGATGATTGATGATGATGATGATGATGATGATGATGATGATGATGATGATGATGATGATGATGATGATGATGATGATGATTGATGATGATGATGATGATGTGATGATGATGATGATGATAATGATGATGATGATGATGATGATGATGAGATGAGAGGAAGGAGGAGGAGGAGGAGAGGACAGGAGCAGGAGCAGATGCAGGAGGGAGAGGCCAGGAGGAGGAGGAGGAGGAGGAGGTGGAGGAGGAGGAGGAGGAGGCGGTGGAGGAGGAGGAGGCGGTGGCGGTGGAGGAGGGAGGAGGAGGAGGAGGAGGTGGGGTGGAGGTGGAGGTGGAGGAGGAGGAGGAGAGGAGGAGGAGGAGGAGGAGGAGGAGGAGGAGGGCTGACGAGGAGGGGCCCGCACTGTCGTCTCATCGCGCCCCCCCCTCCGCCGAGACAGCACCACTCCCCGACGCGGCCGTGCTTGCGTCGTTCCGCTCCCCGTTGCCCGCGCGATTCCCGCAGACAGGGACCTGGTGGCGAGCCTGGCGAGCTCCCTCGACGCGGCCGCGACGCACCTGCTGTGGTTCATGGGCATGGAGGAGGCTGACAGCGGCGGCAGGAAGTTCCCAGACCTCTTCCGGAGGTCCCTCACCACTCGCCCTCCCTACAGCCCATTCCATTCCATTCTATTCTGTCACATTCCTCCCTTTCCCCGCGCCACGGTCATTCTAGGTCAAGCAGTTTATGAATCTAGGCCCAGCGGTGTGGGACATCATGAAAAAATGCACCAGGAAGGGCTGGTTGGTTGGCTGGCTGGTTGTCTCCCCGGTTGCCGGGTGAGCGGGCGTCCAGAGGGTCATTGTGGCACACCCCTCACACGGATCGCGCCTAGGGGGTCAGAAAGAGTTCTTCCAGCCAGAAATATCATTGTCAACCCTTATTTTGCAATGTTTGACCGGAGCTACGTTGTTCTACCCGCGACCCCAAGAGGCGTCCCTCGGAGTCGTTTCGGGAGCTTCCCAGAGAGTATCGGGCCGGGCGAAAGGGGGGGATTGGGAAAGGGAGGGTTACGAAATTTGCTGCATGCAGCTGGTTTCGGCCTCACCGAGGGGCCCATTCCTCGATACATAGCCGCCTCCAGCGCCGGGAGGCGCGCCGGGAAAATCAGCTACGTGAGTTAATTCTCAAACCCCCCCTTTGCTATCCCCCCATTTCGCCCGACCCGAGAGTAGCGTCGGTTGGCGATACTGGGGGGAGCTGGCAGGGGGAGTTCGTGAGAGGGGTCTGCACTCCAGGTCGCCCGCAGGGGCGCGGAGGCAGTCGCGCCTCGCACGCTGCGGCCTGAGCCAGAGAGGTGCCCTTCTCCGTGGGGGCCGCGCGAGAGCGCGAAGAGAAGCGCGCGTCGACTACAGTCGGGGGCGGAAAAGAGGGGGGTGATGACTAGGGGGGGTGGATATCATGGCGGGGGCCATGATACTTCCCCAGATTTCATGGCGCCTCTTCGTATTTCATTACGTCCCTGGCCCCCCCGCTGCCGCGCACGTGCCGCCGGTCATGATTTGCACCCCCCCCTCTTGGACACCCCCCTCTTAGCCGCTTCCGATACAGGGATGAGGTGTTTCTCCAATGATGCCCCCCTCGCGTTCCTGCATGCTGGGCCCGCCCTCGGCCAGTTCCGTGCCGGCTAGCTCCAGGAGGCCGATGCAGCTTGGGCGTCCATGCGCCTTGCACTTACCTTGCATCCTGATGATTTGCGGCGACCGCAGGCGGGAGTTGGCGGAGGAGAGTTGTCAACGGCCCGCTCCGACGACCCGAGGAAGCAGGGAGGACGAATGGAGGGGCGGTGTAGGGCGCGAGGACGGATCTGAGGGCCAGATGTCGGTTATTTGGCACCCTCACGACTTGGCATAAGGAGGGACATCGCGGGAGGAGGCAGGAGGCAGGAGGCAGGAGGAGGCAGGAGGCGTCAGACGCTGTGGGTGCGGCGGCGCCCTCCAGCCTGGCTGAGACGAGGCAGAAGGCAGTAGACGTAAGGGGGGCAGGGCAGGAGCAGGAGGAGCGGCGGAGGAGGAGGTCGGGGACGGTGCGGCGAGAGGGGCAGGCAGGGCCGGCCACGGTCCGGTTCAATCCGATCTGATCCCCCGATTTCGATGCCCGTTCCAATCCGATCCGACACGATTTCCTCCTCCTCCCCCTCCTCCCCCTCCTCCCCCTCCTCCCCCCCCTCCTCCCCTCCTCCTTCCTCCTCCTCCTCCTCCTCCTCCTCCTCCTTCTCTCCTCCCCCTCCCTCCTCCTCCTCCTCCTCCTCCTCCTCCTCCTCCTCCTCCCTGGCCTGCGGGGGCCGAGGCCGATCCGCGATCCCAGGCGATCCGATCCCGATCCGAGTCCGCGGCGACGAGGGCGCGGTCCCAGCCGCTTCCGATCCGATCCGGTTTCGCAACAAGGCCAGGCAGGTGCCTCCTGATCGGGCGAAGGGAACTATGCACATGCACCGATCCCGGCAAGGCCCATCCTCAAGCCAGGATCGGTGCGCATACCTTCCTGGCCAAGGTAGCAGGGCGTGTGCGCCGATCCTGGGCTCGGGATGGGCCTGGCCAGAGTCGGTGTATGTGCATAGTTCTCTTTCCTCTATCCTGATGCGGGATCCCGGGGCGGGATTCTTGATCACTGCTCCTCGGTCGAACCTCGATCCTCGCTCGTTCCTCGGCCACCGCTCCTCGGCCTTCGATCGATCCTCCATCCTCGATCTCAGGCCCGCCCTCGATCTTCGGTCCTCGATCCTCGATCGACCCTCGATCATGGGATCCCCGATCCCCGTTCCTCGCTTAGACCCCGAGGTACGAATTGAACCTGACGGACGGATCCTGGGTGGAGGATTGCGCCGTGGACGCCACCAATACCACAGAGTCCATGGAGTATTGCGTCTACCGCAAGCTGGAGGGTATTCGCGCCCTCTGCTCGGCCACCCGCGCGCTGCCGAAGGAGATCAAGCGTCAAGGGAGAACAAAATCATCCCGACCTCACATAATCGGGGTTCACTACATGGCCCTGGGCGTCAATACTGAACAGTTCTGCGTCCTGTTCGGTTATTTCCTTCGGTGGGTCTGCTAAAGGGCGTCGCGTGTAGTGGTGTTCATTGTGAGGGTGCCCTCTAGAGCTTAGGATTAGGACCCAACAGAACTTTGCCAGGAAGCTGGATGCCCATGACTCGGATGAGTCGCTCCAGCTAGGACCTCGCCTGCAAGGAATCGAGGGAGTGGACGCCTCCTCCCCGACAGAAGCCTGCGGAAGCAAACATCGCCCCACGAGAGATGACAATCTTTGAGGGGTGCGGGGAACCGCCACACGACGTTGGCCAGCCGTGTGCGCAGTTGGCCAGATCTTGCTCCAGCGCTCGGCCTCTCTGTGGCGGCCGCGAACGCCCAGCCTCCTCATGCGCAGGCAGCGCGTGGCCTCCTCCCCGACAGACCCGACAGAAGCCTGCGAGAACAAAAATCGCCCCACAAGAGAAGACAATCTCTGAGGGGTGCGGGAAACCGCCACACGACGTTGGCCAGCCGTGTGCGCACGTGGCCAGATGCTGCTCCAGCGCTCGGCCTCTCTGTGGCCGCGAGCGCCCGGCCTCCGCATGCGCAGGCAGCGCGTGGCCTGGGATGCTCTGCATGCCTCCTCCTCCTCCTCCTCCTCCTCCTCCGCCTCCTCCTCCTCCTCCTCCTCCTCCTCCTCCTCCTCCTCCTAGTGCACGCCATGGGTCCATGGCAGGAGGAGGAGGAGCAGGAGGAGGAGGCGGACGAGGAGGAGGAGGAGGAGGAGGAGGAGGAGGTGGCATCCAGCGATGTGTGCTTTCAGCCTCCTGGTGTACAGGAGCATGATGTGGCCAGCTGGAGGCCGCGCGTGTGGCCCACCACGCGGCCACGCACGCCCGGGCGTCGTATCGACCGCGGCGCCCAGGCAGGCCAAGGATGAAGGCAGATCGCCCCCGAGCGTTCCGGAACGGCCGCGGCGCCCGATGCGTCCTCTGGACCTGCTGGCGTTCAGAGACCCACGATGTGTTTCGGCCCGAGACTGTCTCTCTATATACCTTGCCCTCGTCCGAAGCTCCTCTCGGTGCCGCAGGCGCTTCGACTGGTCAGCCGAACTCGCAGCTCGGCCGCGGGGCGGTGCTGTACCGCCCGACTGCCACGCAGCTCGCCGCCGACACAATAAATTGTCGCGCGCGGAGGCCTGCGGGGCGCCACACGGGGGGAGCCGGCGGCGACGTGCCGCCGATCCGCGAGGTGGCCACCTGCCGGCGGACGAGGGCGAGAGGCCTCGAAGCAGTCAGTGCACATTTTGTCGGAGGTCCGCGTGCGAGCGGACCGGCGCCGCCCCCCTCGCCCTGGCGCGCGGAGCGCGCACAGCCCGGGGGGTCTGGCGCCGATCGAAGGAATCTGAGCGGAACTACGAATACGGATGCTGAATACTCAGGAGGGAAAAAACACACACAGACACAATTAATCGTCGATTCCCAGAAAATATGGGGAAATATGGGAAGTGGGGGGAAGACGAAAACCAAGAAAATATGGAAAAATATGGGGAGTTTGTTATTGATGTGTGTATTTATTTGTGTGCCCTGGGGCCCCTTCAAATATTGTTGTTTTTCTTGTTCTTCTTCTTCTTCTTCTTCTTCTGAGCCACTCCCACGGCGGGGGGAGGAGAAGATGCCCAGGCAGCAGCCGCACGCCGCTGCCCAGAGGCACGCCCTTTCTCAAGAGACCTGCCCTCTTGGCCTCGGCCCGGCGTCTCTTCGGCACGAATCTCACGAAGATGGCCCTGTCTCTTGCTCCCCTCTTCGTGGTACTCGTCCTCGTCCTCGTCGTCCTCCTCCTCCTCCTCCTCCTCCTCCTCCTCCTCCTCCTCCTCCTCCTCCTCCTCCTCCTCCCCCTCCTCCTCCTCCCAGTCCCCCTCCAAAAATCCCCAGAGCTGTGATGGGGCGGTCGGCTCAGCTGTTGCGCAAGGTCTTGTCCGAGCGTTGGCCCAGGTCTCTTCTGTGGACCGCTTCTTGATCGTTGCCTCACCTGCAGGCGATCGCAAGCATGGATCAAGGGGGCGCGGATTTGCGACGGGTCCCGCTTCCGTGGGAATTCGCAGATTTCCGCCGCCGAGCGAGGCGGCACCGGCCGCATTTTGGGGAGGGCACCTCCCCCGATCCATGGATTTGGCGACCGCGCGCCAAATCCATGCTTGCGCGCTCCCGAGAGGAGGAGGAGGAGGAGGAGGAGGAGGAGGAGGACGAGGACTCAGCTGCAGAGGAGGCAGCACGGGATCGAGGATCGAGGTCTTCGGACGTGGTCGACGCCCTTCGGAGGCCAGGCCCCTGGAGGCCTCAAGGGGCCTCCAGAGACGTCTTGGGAGCCGCCAGGGGGGACCTCGGCACAACGTTCCCTGGGGAGGGAGGCGAAGGAGAGACCTCTCTCACTCCCCTCCTCCCCCCTTCCCCCTTCCCCTCTTCCTCCCTTCCCCCCTCCTCCGTCCTCCCCCCTTCCTCCGTTCCCCCCCCCTGCCTCTCCTCTCTTCTCCCCTCCCCCCCCCCCCCCTTTCTCCCCTTCCCTTTGCCCGGCCCCTCCGATCTCCCTTTCTGCTCCCCTTTGGGAGGTGAAAGAAGGGGTCTGCAACAGGGGGTCTTCAATGGGGGCGGAATGGCGCATGTATGCTCAATGCATCGCTCATGTATGTGATCGGGTACGATTGGCATCCAAAGTTGGCGGTCATGGAGGGCCAGTCGTTCGTGCCCAGGCGTTGCCCGCGCGGGCAAACGCGCCGTTCATCCACTATCGTTCATGCGTGCGAGAGTTCTTGCATATCGCGCGCGGGGCGGCGAAGCGGAGTGCAAGTGTGTCTTGATTGTGTGATTGATGATCGCGTCTGTTCCCAAACGATGATTTGTCGACCCCCAAGACAGATTTGGAATGGGTCCCGCGATTCTCCCAAAATGTGTATTCACATGTTCCTTGTTTTCCCAAAATGTGCATTCACATTTTCTTTTTTCCCAACATGTGAATTCACATTGTGGCCCCGTCATAAAGATTCCGATGCCAAATTCCACAATGTGGCTTCACACGTTCTTTTTTCCAACATGTGAATTCACATGTTCCTTTTCCCAACATGTGAATTCATATTTTGTTGTTTTTTTCTACCATGTGAGTTCACGTTTTGCCGTGGCCCTCAAGATCCCCAAAACTGAGGCGCAGTGTTCCGCGTGTCGAATTGGGTGGGCAGATTTTGATACGCACCTCACCGCTTTCGTTTATTCCAACCTTTTCTTTTTGCGCCCTCAGCGCATGTTGCCTTCGTCACCTTTCCCGAGCTCCCCGCCTCCTTGCTTCGTTTACCCTCGAGTCTCGCGCATGGGTGCAGGCGGGGAGCTTCAAGTGGTTCCCCCGTCGAACACAGCAATCGAAGATGCATCGCCCATGCATGGCCTACAGAGACACCACTGCCGGGACCCTGCGCCCGACCCCCATTTTCACCCTCCAACCCCTGCCCAGGGCCCTGCCCCCTGCCCGTGCCCCCCCCGGCCCCCCCCTGCCTTGCCTTAGGGCCCCGCCTTCCGATGACGAACCAACAACACACACCCATACCCATGGGGGGGTCGGAGAGGGCTATGGGTACGTGTCGTCGGATGGGGGTCTCCGCTCGAACGGGAGCGTTCCCCAGGGTCCGACAACCCGCACTCATACCCATAGCGAGTCCTCCTCCCAACGACCGCCCTTATGGGTATGGGTGTGTGTTGTTCGTTCGTCAGTCCGAAGCATCGAGAAACTGCTGATTGTCTCGCCTTCGGCACCGCCCCCGGCCAGGAGCACCACGGGGCCCTCCAGGCCGCGCTCAAGGCGCTGGGGCGGCAGCAGGAGAACATCCCGGGCCTCAGCCTGCGGCGGGACCCGATGCCGGACCCCACAGGACGCGGAGGGCGCCGCCGTCGTCGACGTCGTCGTCGACGTCGTCGTCGCCCTCCTCTTGGCGAGCCCCGCGGGCGAGGCCCCCCCCCCCTCCTCTGGGAGGGAGGGAAAGAAACACACAGACACAATTAATCGTCGATTCCCCAGAAAATCTGGGAAAATATGTGAAGTGGGGGGGGAGACAAAAATCCAGAAAATATTGGAAAATGTAGGGAATTATTTTATGTGTGTGTGTGTCTGTATTTATTTGTGTGTCCCAGGGTCCCTTCACTCTAGGAGGGAGGGAGAGGGAGGGGCGAGGAGGGGGCATCTTGGCATTCTGACGTTGTCTCCCAGTGGGCCCTCGTCGCCGCGGCGGGGTTCGCCCCGGAATCCTGGCCAGGACGCGCTCCAGGACACGTCTGGAGACCAGCCTGGAGGCGACGAGGAGGGTGCAGGGAGGAAGGGTCGGAGGGACGAGGGCGGCGGAGGGCTCGTGCAGGGAGGTTGGAGGGAGAGACGAGGGCGGTTGGAGGGACAAGGGCGGTTGGAGGGAGAGACGAGGGTGGGGGAGGGTTCCGTGGAAAGAAAAGAGACGAGGAGGGTGGAGGAGGAGAGACGAGTCGTTCGAGAGTCGAGGGAGGAAGGGGGGGAGGGAGGGAGGAGGTGGGAGAGGAGGAGGAGGAAGAGAAGGAGGAACGAAAACGACGAGGACGACGACGAGGAGGGGGGAGTGCGGTGGAGAGAGAGAGAGAGAGAGAATCAAGCTTGGTGCGCGCGTGTCAGGGTCAATTTCGATATGGTCGACCCGCTCCGATGTCGATTTCGGCCGTTTCGATCCGATTCGATTATGGTTTTCTGTGGATCCGATGCGGCCCGATGCTTGCAGGGTTTCGTTGTGCACCCTGACGCGACCGATCGAATTCGACTGCGGTTCCGTGCCGATGCTCCTGATGTGGACGCACATTCCGGTTCGATCCGATGTCCTTGTTCGATTATGATTGATTTTGTTTCCCGTTACCTTCCTTCATCCTCTTCTTTCCTTCCTTTCTTCCTTCCTGTTACCTTCCATCCCTCCTTCCTTCCTTCCTGTTACCTTACCTTCTTCCTATTATCCGTAAGGGTTTCGCCCCCTGCCGCCGGCCCCCTCTCTCGGAGAATGGGCCATGGAAGAGCTAAGTCATGAGGCTTTGGCGCTGTCGTGAAGCAGTATCGAAACTTCATGCGAAGCCGATTCGCAATCAGCAAAACCAACTGATCACAAGAGGTGTTACCACACCTGGCGATTGGTAAGACGTGTATGGTTTACGGGCTTGGTTACCACACCTTGCGATTAAAGGGCCGAGGGAGTTCTCGCAGTTTGGGTTACCACGCCTTGCGATGGATGTGCGTGAAGGGTGGCACCGAATTTCAGAAATGTGCCAAATCCCATGTGTTTTTGGACCCTGACCCCGCGGATCTGCGTAAGGGGTGGCGCCGAATTTCAGAAATGTGGCAAATCCCCTGTGTTTTTGGACCCTGACCCCTGCGGATCTGCGTGAGGGGTGGCACCGAATTTCAGAAATGTGCAAATCCCCTGTGTTTTTGGACCCTGACCCCGCGGATCTGCGTGAGGGGTGGCACCGAATTTCAGAAATGTGGCAAATCCCATGTGTTTTTGGACCCTGACCCCGCGGATCTGCGTGAGGGGTGGCACCGAATTTCAGAAATGTGGCAAATCCCATGTGTTTTTGGACCCTGACCCCGCGGATCTGCGTGAGGGGTGGCACCGAATTTCAGAAATGTGGCAAATCCCATGTGTTTTTGGACCCTGACCCCGCGGATCTGCGTGAGGGGTGGCACCGAATTTCAGAAATGTGGCAAATCCCATGTGTTTTTGGACCCTGACCCCGCGGATCTGCGTGAGGGGTGGCACCGAATTTCAGAAATGTGGCAAATCCCCTGGGGTGTGAGATTTCACCGAGCCCCCCCTGACCCCGCAATCTGTGTGAGGGGTGTAGATTTCGAGCCCCCCCAGCAATTCAGACAACGCGCCCAGGAGGTGCTAAAATGCCGGTTTGGGCTTCCCCCCCCTCGCGCGGTCAATCAACTAGTTTCAGTAACCAGCAAGAAGGAGAACAATCAACTAGTTACAGTAACCAGCAAGAAGCAGAACTGTAACACTGGAAACTACAAGCTACAACTGGCACAGGAAACTGCGAACCCCGCCCCTACAGCCTGGTGGCCCCACAAGGGGGCCGGCGGACCTTCCTGTTACCTTCCTTCCTGTTACCTTCCTTCATCCTCCGCCCACCGTCACCTCAAGTAGGACGAAAGGGGGGATCAGTTCAGCCCCACCGTGGGCGCTTGCCTCAAAACAGTGGCGCCGTTTGCGCCAGGAGCCTGTGGCCCCCGGGGAGTTTTGGGGGTACGGGGGGCAGCAGAAGCTGGGAGCGAGCGGAAGCGAGGCGGGAACGGGAGACAGGGCGAGGGTCGGAGGCAGGGCGCCGACCGCGGCCGGAGAGCGTCGGGCCGATCGACGGGCCTTCGATTCGCGAAAACTGGTCGGATTGTCGAGACACTTCGGCGGCAGCGTTGAGAGTGCCGGGCGCGGCACCTCTTCGAGGTTAGGGCAGCTGCAACAGCGGGCCCCTGGGGCCACTACTGGATGCGCTGCACAAGACTGCCAAAACACTTGTTGTTGGTTCTCTCTCTCTCTCTCTCTCTATTTCTCTCGGCTGGCGGAGAACGTCACCCTCGTGATAAGATCTGAGTGTCAAAAACAGCGGTGTGGTCATCACCACTTCAACCAATAAAAACAATGTGCGCACGCTGACTGAAGCGTCTTCTCATGCAATACGGATTTACGTGTAATTCGTTAGGCCAGGTGTTAAAACATGCAGTGCGGATTTACATCGACGGGGTCGGTAAAAGGAGCAGCACAGGCACAGCAGCGGGTAGACTCACTCAGGAGGCCTTATTGGCCTTGTTGCTCTTTGTGGTTGGCTCTTTGCCAGTGAGCTTCCTCCAATGACCCATCAGGTCCCACATCACCAAGTTCTGCATATGCGAGAAATGAGGCCCACGCGTTGTGTAGTGCCGACGGAGCCATGACGCATGTTTCTCGCAGGTCCTGCAGGTGATGTATACACTGGGAGTGTTGTGCCCCACGATGACCTCGTGATGATTGATCACGCAATTGTTCATCTCCTGCGGTGGTACCGTCGGCGTAGATTCGTTCCAGGAAGCCACATTTGTACTGGATGAACTCGAAACAAAAAACCGCACTTGGTCAAGTGGGTGCGGACCTTCTGCTTCCCGGCGTTGGTGTCCCAGTGCTTGCAGGTGGCAGCAAAGGCGGCTGCGGGGCAGCTGCTGCTCTGGATGCTGATGAGCTCGATCCCTGCATGCTGCTGCCAGGACCCTCTGCAGGATGCATGTGGACGTCCCCATCGTAATTGTGTTCCTCTTGGATGGTTGGTTGGCTCGGTGAGTTTTTGCGCCTGCCAAGACGACGTCCGTCCCAACCAGAGTGCCCGCCGTCTTCTGCCTTGCACTCGGTGCCTGGCTCGTTCGGGCGTTCCTTCTCGTGTAGGTGGGTCTCCCTCAAATCCGTCCACATGCTGGCAAGGATGCCGAAACCGATCATCGTGCCCAGGAGCTGGGTGAACACTGTCATGTAGCACGCGTAGCAGTAGAAAGCCCAGTCTTGGGGGGCGTTGGCGATGGCGTAGGGTGTTCTTTGACCCTGCCGAAGCAAGTGAACAGGACAGAGGCGAACATGGCAGCGTTCGCTTGCCTGTGCCGTAGGTGTGCTTGCGGGCCCCGAAAAACGATAGGAGCACGCCAGCGTCCATCGCCCTCGTCAAGGTGTCGACAACCATGGCCCAGGTGGGGATCCAGCTGAGCCGTAGGGCGTTGTGTGGACGTATGGCCTCTCGAATCTCTAATCATGGAGGCGGTAACGCGAAACCGTTGCCCGTGGACTGGCAGACATCGGATTGGATGTGCGCCACGAGGCCCTTGCTGTCGCTGCAGATCTCCCCGGGGCGCGTGTCGGCGAGTTCGTCGATCAGCTTGAGCGCCGTCTCGGGGTAGTAGGCCTCGGTCAGCAGCTGGCGGAACCAGATGTTGGTCGCCGCGCCTTCGAGGGTCGCGCGGCCCTCAGCGGCGAGGGTCGACCTCGCCGACCTCTTCACCGCGCCTGGGTGCCAGGCCACGGGCAGGCACAGGTCGTAGCGGCCTCCGACGACGTCGCGATGACGGTGAGCAAGCTCCACCGCCATGCCCCACTGGCTCTTGGCCACGACCACCTTGGCGAACGCGGCGTCGCTGAAGCACGCGGCGATGCAGGTCTGCAGGTCGCCAGAGCACGATCGCGAAATTCGCAGCAAACCTCACATACGCGACGGTCTCGTTGAGGGTCTTCGCGTGCACCGCGGCCGCGCTGGGCCTTCAGGTCGACGAAGTCCACCTGCGAGGCAGCAGCGGCCTGGGCCACCCGGAATTCGTCGTTTTGGTGACGGTACGTCCGCGGCATTTGATTTCCCTTCGACCTTATTGAGGTGCAGATTCTTTTCCAGCGACGAGATCGTGGATCTCCAGCGGCTGGAGTCGCTGCGCGCGGCGACCAGGAAGTCGCCCACGCGAGAGTGGATCACGGCGGCGAGCCCCCTTCGTCGTAGAAGTAGCAAAGGCCCTGCTCGAGTTCGTCCTCGACGAGGCCGCGCTCGGCGAAGATCTTCTGCGAGTAGAGGCACCGCTGCCGATCGGCGTCGCGCGCCCCGTAGATCGCGCCAGTGGCCGACGCATTTTTGCCAGGTCTCGCCCCCGGCGGCGGGCTCTTGGACGACGTGCGCAGAAACAGCAGCCCCCCGATGTCCCCCGACTGCAGGCGGGCCGTCATCGCGCGGCAAGACGAGAGGCACCAACCCTTCCGGGCCGCGGCGGCCAGGGTCAGGTACAAGCCGCCCCTTGACCCCGCAGGCGCGCCCGCCCCGATCTGCGACTCGTCCTCTTGGCTTCCTTGGGCGACCAGGCGGG